TCAATTCTTTAATTTTAAAGTAAAATTTAAAAAAAAAAAAACATTTTTTTAATGAAAACGTCTCGTTTTAATTTTCCTAGACTAACAAAAAATACTTAACTTTGATAAAAAATAAATAATGCCGCAATAATTTACAACAGTCGATGTCTCGTCATACAACAAAACCCAACTCTTGCTTTCTAGAATAATTAGTGAAGGCTGTGAGTGCGTACTCGCGTGCATCCAGCCAAAGAATTTATATAAAAGACACGCACGCATCTCTAAATAGTATATACACATTAAATAGATTAAAATAAAACATATGTATTGATAAAAATAATAATAATAGTTTAATTGAAGATAGACGTATTGATTTCTAGTAATAATTATAAGACAATTATAATTTATCAGTCTGCAGATTCGATTAGCATTATAAATGCACATTAATTATAATAAGTGATCAAGAGATCACGCATTCCATGTTAAGTGTACGACTCAAAAGACACGCGTGATGATTAATATCAGTCACGAGAGTTAGCGATCATGATAGCAATAGTGTTGGTAAGTCGAATAAAAAAATTAAAAAAAAAAGTAATCGGCTAAGAAAATTCCAAGTGCAAGAACAACCATGAACACGCTCATTTGCCACTGAATCTGCTAGTCGAATTGATGTTTACTTAACACGATAGCTTCTGTTGTTTAGAGCAGCTTTAAAGGGATTATATTGAGTTACTCGTTCAGTCTCGTAATCAAAAGTGGAAAGATTTATATATCTTTCTGGGTCAGACTGCAAAAATCTTTAAGTTTAGCAAAAACTGTCCGTGCCGATAATAAACAGTAAAATAAAATAAAAGAGTGATTTTGAAGAAAGCAAGAAAATTCTAAATATAAAATAATCTAACCGACTGTTTATGGAATGCATTGAGAAATATCTCTAGTACAGCCCGTTGCTTGCGTGATTCATCGCTAAGAGGAGTCTAAAGACTTGAGGGAAAAGACAATAGAATGGCTTACGTACTGAAAAATTAATATAAAGGCCTTTTAACAAGTCACTACTCTCAATGATAAGTATTTATATTTTATAAATAAATAAATATTTCAAAAAATCACTATTTATATTTTTTGTTTGTCTTTCATCAATTGATGAAAGTTTTTGAGTGTAAATTTGTAACTTTTTAGTGTGACAAGTATTTATAAAATATTATACATGATTTATTTTAAGAAAAATTTTGTCACAGAATTTTTACGGGAGATCTTATGGGAGGCATTAGAAAGGTTTTGAAGAGAACTGGAATTTTTCTAGTTGCTAATTATTACAAATTATTACTGATTATCTATCAAAGACATTGGAATAATGCACGAAAAGAATAAACTTCACTTTAAAGATTTTTGTTTGAAATATTTTAACCATTCATAAGAGTAATAGGAAGTAATACCATCGCATTTTTGGTATTTTATCTCAAACTATTCATTGTAAGATAAATTACACACTTTCTCGGTGTAAGGTCACTAGAAAATCGTTTCAATGCTCTCAGAACTGTGAAGGTTTCATCCCAAAACTATTTTCGGTACAGAACCATTTTATTACCACGACTTTTGAGCTATCTTATCGAAAATTCCAGTATTTAGTCAGATTAAGAGCTTAGATAAATGCGTTAAGATGTAACGCAAGTTATTTATCCTAACTGATAGTCACCAGGACCTCTAAAAGCAGTTTTGAGTTGAAACGCGATTTAATCTCTGTACCAAGTAGCTTATCAACTTAAGCATATTTCTGAACATTTATTTCAAGATATTATTTATTTGTTTTGCCCACTAGTCATCTGAACTTCTGAAATTGGTAATTGAACGATTCATGTTCAGAATTTTCAAATGAAATGACTTATAATTAAAATAATTAACACTTGTAATGCAAAAATTTTAATTTCAAGGGCAATTATTTATGCCTTTGCACGTTTGCATTTAATTTAATTTAATATTTTTTTATAAATTTATAAATTTACTGATTGAAACTTCTTAATAGTGTATTTTGAGTTCTTTTTTACTGAACTCTATTTATACTAACCGAAAATATAAGTCTCTTAGATTTAAAGTGAAAGTATTATATCAGTTAAAATTTTTCAACCGAGTGAGCAGCGCACACAAGATTAAATGATAAAATTCATTTATAAATCAACACGAAATAATATTTTCAAAAGATATATTTCATTAAATATTCAATCAATACAGCATGTGATTAATTTTCATAAAATATTGACACGCCTGAAGCTCCAATATCCGATTAGATAAAATAAAATTTCCGAAATTATCGGATAAATTACATCCATGAAACCTGACGGGAAAACTCGGCAATATTAATTGAAATCATCATTTAGAATTTAAATAAAAGTTAATATTGAACTACATTTCAGTGGTCTAATATCGGATTTCAATCGGTACCATCGTACTTCGCCTAATTTAAAGAAATAATTTTTTTCATCACCGATCGAAACTAAAGGTCACGAAACTACAGATGAGAAGATAAATAAAGTAAAAAAATTTCCGAGCTATTCACTTTATCGGCACGCTAGACAGTCGTTTCGTACCCATCAACCACGTGAAACAAAGAGAAGACAGAGTATAACCAGGTAAAGACTTACACATGCAGACTAGACCTATATATATCTACCTGGTTTTAAAATCGAATCAACTCCAATCCATATCTCGTACCAGGTACACTAACTTTTAAACTCATCGCTTTACTTCTTCTACTGACTATACATTTTTAAAACTAATTTACTTTTGTAGCCTTTATTTTACTTTACGTTAATTTCCTACTCATTTAATAAAATTATTATTGACCATAAAAATAATAATAAATATAATTTTAATTAAATTTGATACGTAACTCTAGTTGAAAGCCGAGACAATTCAGAATTTGAATAACAATTTGTGTACTTGTTTATGAAATGGGTATAAATGATGGTGGACAGACTTAATGTCGATATGATTTGGTAATGAAGTGTTGATGATTTATAGCTAATGTAGACCAATTGCGTGCATTATATGCGGTTATCGCATGTAGACACGTCGTGCAAAATCCGTACCTGAATAAATACTAGTGAGTCACGACCGAGTGTTGTTACAACCTGAGGGCATTGCACGTGTAAATACATACATATATGAATTCTCATATATATATATATATATATGTGAATTCTATACACTCAATGCCGTGTATTTATAATAGTTGGAAAGATAGTAAGGTAGTAGTGTCTCGGACAACCCAACCAAGAGTTGAGAGTCGACCAAGTCGAGACTTGTCCCTCATTTTTATTTGGACTTTTTTATCTTCAGCTTTATATTTATTGCTCCTTTTTACGTATCTTACTAACAACTGCACTTCTTCAAATTTTATTTATGCTGCATTACACTGACATATATACCGATATAAACACGTATTTAATAAATTGTAAGTGGATTTTTAAATAACCGGATATACTATATTATTCAATGGTTATTTTTAGCCACAATCTTTTGCAAGTTAGTCATTTTTATTTTTTTATCGAACGTAATCAATCTTTGAAATAATAAATGATTTGTTTTTTAATAAGTTTCAGGTGTAAATTAATAAAGATTATTAATCGTTAGCGCGTGTTAACTAGAGAAAGGATTATATTACTCGAAGCGTAAAAATGAAAATCAATTATTCTAAAAACACGTTAATAAGTAACTAAACATAACATTACGTATACTAATATTCCTTTCGCTCTAAATTCCAACAAGAACCCGCAAGTACGTACATACAACTAAACACTCGTTATTATATTTATATATATATATATATATATATATATATATATATATATATAAGTACGTATACGATCAATACACCCGTATAAAAAATAAATTATTGACGTGCTGTGGGGTACTACACGTACAATTTTGCTTGATAAATTATTACAACTTAGCGAGATACTAAAGCCTCATTTTACCGTAATTACTAATAAAACATAAATACAGATAAATAAATACGGCGAGTTTTATTTTATATTTTATCAATTGTGAGGTTTAACAATTCATTCGCGTGAGCGTAATATACGCGAATAAATTTTAATATGTGGCTGATCTGAATGTATGAGCTTTAAGTTATCTTAAAGATTCAAATTTTATTAGTATTATTATTTTTATTATATGCTATATAAATATCATTATTGACGATCTTCCGTTCGTCAGCCGTAAACAATTGAAACGGGCTGGCTTGAGAATGATTTGAATCGAGTTGTCGTGCGTGTCGCCGCATAGAGCGAATGTAAACCGACCGCAAGGTGATACCGTTACCGATTTTTTTTCAGCCGAGTCACCACGCGACCGGGGCTTACCGAAGGTAACCGCATCGACGGTTTTACTCGGTGCGTCTTGTCTCGTTGAAGCGACCGCCGGATAAAATAAAAATTTTACTTATATATAGTTATACAGTCTAGTGTAAGTATAGAACTATACCTACGACAAGTAAAGGTGACTTGGTTTATGTATGGTTTATGTCGTATGTGTAAGGTAAGTCTGTAAGATTAATGGTAAGGTGAGAAGAGAAAAAGACACTAGATATGCTATATCGCTATATACTATAGAATAAGGTTAAATCGAAAAGAAATGCTTGTTACTATATACTTGTTATAACTATAAAACACTATTACTACTACTCGTGATTTCAAAATGTCGTAAATTCATTTTAGGTAACATCCGGTTAAGGTATCAAAGAAATTGGATCACTTTTCTTTTAATACAGGTCTATTGTTTTACATAAAAAAATTTTTTTTAAGATTGGAGTTTTTTATAAAAATTAAACATTTAATTTATTTAAAGACGTTCTTGAGCTTGAACATAAATCAGAATTAATTAAGTTTATTATTTAATAACTAAAACTTTTTTTTCAATGAAGATAATTAGTCTTATATGAAGTAAAATGAAATGAGCATAAAAAATTCGATATGATCTACTTTATATTGTTAATTAAATTGAAAAAAATGATGAAAGATTTATTAGTGTACATGAACATCTTTAAATTAATAATTATAAAAAATAAAATGATCAATAATAAACTCACCCAGAAGATAAATTATTACCGACATTTAAAGAAGAAACATGATTATTATTATTAGAAACAATTAAAGGAACTCTTCGTGGTTCATGAGCTATTCTATGACTACTTTCATCTCTAAAAATAAAATGAAAATAATTAAATAATGTAATTGAGTAATTTAATAATTAACGATAATGAATATTGAAACGTATAAAGTTAGTTTACATTAATGTAAAGATTGGAATTGACACATTAACCAATCAATAATTAAATAACAAAAGACAAAGCTTAGTCACGTGCATACCATTAACTTATACATCCCGATAATTAATCCTTTAAAGTGACCATTAAAATGGCAATCAATCTGATCTAACCAACAAGCCATTAATGCAAATAATCGAGAGATAACTCAAGAGCCAGAGATTTAATTAAGTAACTACCAATTCAAGTACACACATGTGTCTATAATAATACGTGTGTAGTATGTGGTGTATAAATAAATATACAACGCGAGCGCGAGGGTTGCTATGCATACAATCGACCTTAATGCACTTGAGATAGAATGAATTAGAACAGGCCTATCCAATCTACTGACATCCGGTACAATGGATTCAATCGATATCGATACTGCTGTGGAAGTGTGTCATTACCCCGTACATGGCTCACACACAAGCGATGGTGGAAAAAAAAAATAAAAATAAGAGTTATAATTATAAGTTATAAGCGTAGAATTATGACACGGATATTAAGCCCTTGACATACCCAGCAGAAATGTCCAAGGTTGCTGCGAACTCTAGAGGATTTCTCGCGACAATTGCACCTTCCTCATTAATTATGTTTGCTAATGTCATATCGTACACGACATGGGAGCTGGTATTTATACTCTGTGATATCATTAATGGGTTATCTTCATTTGGATAATACAGTGTTGATATTGTCAAGTCACTCTCTGCTGGTAAATCATCTGCATTCACGTATTATGTAATTTTGTTATTAGTTTTCGTTATCTATAATCAATCAATAGTGTTTGATCTACCGGTTATTTGGTAGGGATATTGAGGGTCCAAATGCTGTACAATAATTAAATGGAGATGAGAAGTATTCAGTAATTTAATTAACTGATTAAATTTCAGGCACACAGTGATGAAAAGTTCAATTTTAAACGATAATTATGGAATTTAATTGAGAAATAAAATAAATTTTTTTGGTTAAAAAAATTGTTCTATTAAACATCAATGGGACCTTCATAATTTTGATTAATTAATCATTAACAATATTTTTGAATAATTGAATATTTTTAGTATCATTAAAAAATTTAGAGATAAATAAAAACCATTAATATTAATTTTCAGGTCCTCAAAAAGGTCAAAATACTATTGATTGATAAATAATATGCACTTAAATATGATTGATTGATTACTTGTAAAAGGAGATGATGAGGCCAATGGTAAAGGATTAGAATAATATTGAAATAAATTAGAGGGCCTAATTGAAATTTCCATCTGAGCAGAGGAGCTTGAGCTGACTTGATTGTTGTCCAGAAAAATAGACAGTGATGGATGATGGTCTGAGGATTCAGAAAAAAGGAAAGTCAAAGGTCGCGTTTTTTATCCGACTAAAGAAATATTTTAATAGGATGAGAAAATTACCGATCGTAAAACCGGAAGCCAAGTTTGAAGATTGGAACGAATCATTTAAATCAATGGCTACTGTTTGATTATAAATTGCAGGTTCAGGTTCTGTACCTACGCCTACATTCAGATGTTCGTCTTCGTCTTCATCTTGATCTTCGATTTCCATTACTTCGACTACTTCGGACCTCTCATTATCCGCGGTGCTATTTACTTCTCGCTGGCTTTTAAATCTCATTAGACGTTTCAAATGATTGCCAATGTTCGGCAGACTTGACCTGATCTATTTATTACTCCGTGCAATTTTAAAATAATTAACAATGTTATTCTTATTTTAAAATAAATTATAATTTATATAGTAGCTTATATTGTAATTATTCATTGTCTACAATTCATACTCATTCTTATTAAAGACTATTGACTTACATAAAAAATGTATGAGTTGTATTTAAAATAAATAATTGATAATTAACAAACCATTCTACCGAAGCCAGTTTTTATTTTTTCATTAACCGGGTAATAAAGAGGTTCTTCGTTTATTGACATCGAGGTACTGGGAACTGGATCACTCGAGACGTCAATGATTTCATCATCGAAATTGTTATTTTCAGACATTTTTTTTGTTATTTAAATTTTTATTTCTATAATTATTTTATTTTTACGTTTTTAGTTTACTAAAATTTTGTTGCCAATGTCATTTATTAATTATTCATCGGCATACTTCACGCAGTTATTTTTTTGTTTATCCTATTCAATATCTATACCTCTGTTCTATAAATTTTAAATTATATTATTATCACTTCTTAGTAGAAGAAACTTAAAAAAAAATTGCAAAATTTGAATTTTAAGGTCAATAAATTTAAAAGTAAAATTTCCTAATATTATTCTATTAAACCCCTGTGAAAAACTCTCTCTATAAAATCAAAGTCACAAAGCCACTAAAGAATTTTCCTCTCCAAAATATAGAGCGCTACATATTTCAACTAAAGTACTAAACATCAAAGAAACCCCTGTAGCCCTAAATTTGTTGATAAAAAACATTTCTAATGAATAATTTGAACAAGTTATGTGTCTATAAATTTCCGTCACGGACACTAAAGATAATTATAATATGAACCGTAAAATAAACTCGTATTAAAGTGATAAAAATCCAGAGGCTGTCAATTTAAATAAACGATTACAAGTCTATGGTCTATGAAGTAATGTAAAATAAAAAATTACACAACCTGTGCTCGAATCAAGCGAACTTTGTTCATATCACACACTTGCTATAATTGATTATTAAACTACTGAACAGCAATAAAGTTAACGTCCTCACATTACGCGACATTATGACAAAGAATTTGTCTACTCCACACTTAGGATAATAATTTAATTTAATTATTTATAAATCTCTCAATTTTAATCATTTCCAAAAGTTTTTTACCTCACTCAAGTTTAAAGTTTTTTTTTTTAAACAAAAAACGAGTGGAATAAAACGAAATCATGACAAACATAATTAAAGTACTACCTACACTTGAAGGTAATTTATTCGAAGGGTTCCCTTGATGATTTCATCAATAACCACACACACAATGATAGTAATAATAATAATGAAAATAATGATAATAATGCTAATAAAAAAGACTATAGTAGCCTAGAGGAAAATGAATCAACGTACGGGTAATCGTGTAAGGAAAACAATGGATTTATACAGCCGGTTAAAAAATAGTTGTCAGAAGGCCGTGAATATAAACTTTCTAATCGTTCAATAGAATCAATATCTTTAAATAAAAAAACGCACGCACACGCGTACTTACCAGCCACCTAAGTAAACACAGAATAATAAATTTATTTACCGACTTAAATATTAAATATACCAAATTAAAAAAATGAGTACTCACCGGATATGCGTATGGAGTACGAATTACGTTTAATTCTCTGCTCCTAATACACCAGGAGTAACCCTGAGGTGAAACAAACAAACGAAATAAATCAAGATAAATATTTTTACATCGATAATGACAATCAACTCTGTCAATAAAATTCTTGTGAATATTATCTCCAATGTTGGATTCAGATGTTCGTTTTGGTTTTGATGCTTGTAAATTAAACTGGTACATTTAATTATATGATATGAAATGTCAAAATCCTGGTGGTGCCATCTTGTGATATCTGCGGTCAGGGTGGCCGTCATAAGCTGTCACGAGGACGAGGATTTTTTTTTTTTTTTTTTTCCACCACTTACTTTACTTTTGGAGCATTACTTTTGACATCTCACTCACTGTCTTTAATTTTTAATTAATTTACAATAGCACTTGTTAAATTATTTACATCACCTCAAAAAAAAATAGTTAATATCCTTGTCATTATCATAACACGTATGTATGTAACGCAATAAAATATACATAATTACAGTAACGTCATTTATTGTTGACGACAATGACGAGGGAATTGATTGTTATTGTTATTATTGTTGTGATACCACGATAAGGTATAATAAAATAAAATGGTTGGTTGGTCGTAAATTTTTAAGAATAAAAATACTCCGAAATACAAGTGACAGCTAACTAGACTCCTCCTTAGATTGGACAAGTAGAATAATATATAGGTATCTAAAATCTGTGTAAAATATATACTAGTTATATATATTTAAAGCCAGAATCCGTCTGTTAAAATGTCATCACAGTGTTACGGCGATTGCGTATAAATAAGTGTAAAAAATGGCCGGATTCGTGTACATGAAACCGGTTTTTATAATATTATTAACAAGTCATTACGATCGATTGAATTAAATAATAGTGTTGCAATAAGAAGAGACGGAGCTACGCCATTTTCACTTTGTCTTTTTGCTATTATATATAACACACACTCACACTGGTACACCTGACTCGTATTTTAATACGAGTTTAAAGTCAACACTCCATCCGCGTCTGATGGCGAATGCTTACTGCCTCCTGATGTCAGTTCTCGCTTACACTTCAAACGATGGCGCTCATGTTTACGCCAGTCACTCTCGCGGCACTTTTTCAAACTAGTTTTCTGCTGTGTCAGTAATGTCGCTCTACTTTATTATCTTTTAGTTTTTTAAATTATTGATGAAATAATTAATGAAAATTAAGTTAGCTGACATTTGAAAATTTTCAGATTTTTTTTTTATTGAAAAAATTATTACAAAAAAATAAAAAAAAAAATTCCCTTTGTAAAAAAACTTGAAAAACTATAAGTGGAATTTTTAAAAAATGTTTTTTTGTTTCAATTTAAAAGTTTACTAAATAAAGTAACATTTTTCTTTAATTATATTTTCAAATTTTCAAACATGGAATTTTTTAAAAATAATTTATTTATTAAAAAAATTTATAATTATCAGATATCTGTTGATTATTTATAAATTTTATTCAATTATTTGTTTTGAAAAAAAAAAAAATAAACAACAAGTTTGCACTAGTAGTATTTTAATTACGATTTTTAAGTATACAAGAAAGTAAAATTGATGAATTTTTTAAATTAATGAAATGTGAATTATGAATATAAATACTCGTTTGTAATTGAAAATACTTTTGATTAATTGACAAGCAACAATATGATACATACAATAAAATAATACGTTTTCATAATAAATAGCGAGAGTGATTGAAATACTTTTACGTACTCTCTAAAAATTCAATCAGTGAAATCTTACACGTGTTTATAATTAAATACCCGTGGTTTTGAATGATAAGTACATGTATATATTCTTCGAACTAATAACATATTTATCACGAAGAAAATGAGTATTTATTTAGAAATTAAATAATTACACTGATGAATTTTCAAGTGAAACCTATTACAATATTTATCGGTAATTTTTATCTAAAAATTGCTCATAAATGAATATAATAAAATTCGACTTATTTCTGAAGCGATTCTTATATTATTTAAATGCATTTATTACGCTAATATTTTTATCGGTACTACTTTAATAATTTTATGTATACATAACAAAAATGCTATTTGATATTTTATTATCTTTCCATAATAAATATTCTCGGAAACATGAGAATCAAAAAAAAATTCAACGAAACAAAATACTGATTGATTTTATTCTATTTATTAAAAAAAAAAAAAAAATAGCAGATGAACTTATAATTCAGCTTTCTGTTTTTCGCATCGCAATAATTCGATGCAAATTGTTAGATTTGTCATGCATGGAATTTTTTATGAGATCGATTTCAGTAAATTTATTATATAATAAAAATAACAATCAAATCTAATATTCAAACTAATTTATTAATTTTACGAAAAAAAAACCATGGATATTTTTAATTGCTTTTGAATTGCATTCCGTTATACCAGTATCAATATTTCCGTTCTGCTGTAAATAAAAATATATATATTTATAGTAATTATATCATTATTATTAAAGCGGGTACCAGCATTAAAATTCTGTCAGGCATTTAATTTACCCAGCTTTTGAATTTTTTTATCTCTAACACAACGAGGATCGCAGCACGAGTCCAGTGTCCTACAATCGACCGTTTGGATTTTGTGACGCCTGGAGATGCCAGATGACGGATGTTTTCGTCTCTTTGATTTAATAATAATATTACTGGGGAGCATAATATCGTCCCAGGGAATTTCAATGTCTTCTTTGATACATTTTTCAGGTTCGGGTAACGGATTTATGCGAATTGGACTCTCCAGAGCTATTTTATCCCAAGGTATCTCCAAAGAAGAATCGCAAACAGCCAATAACTCCGGTGACTTTTTAATCTCGACGACAACGTCATCAATCAATAAATCATTCCAAGGTAACTCCATCCTTCCCGAAGATTCCTTTTTCTCCGCGACATTACCATCTTCATTGGAAATATCATTATTATTATTATTACTATCAATCACTCTTGGATTCTGGTCATCCTCAGCAGGAATCTCAACTAGTCGACGAATTTTCACGGAATTAAGCGGCAGTGCGATATCTTTCCAAGGCAACTCGACTTTCGAATCACATTTTAATGAAGCATCCGAGTACTCATGCGAGAGGGTACTCATATAAGGCTCATGCCATACTTCTTCTTCTGGTTTGTGGACGAGGGTTTGTCGTTTCTTGTTACACTTTTCCCGTACTCGATTATTATTTATCCTTTCAGGCAAACGATATCCACCGTAGTCCAGCCGCGTATTGATACTCGTCTTACGCGGGTTTCCAATTACGTAGTACATTATTATTGATGAAAACAAAAACTTTTTCAACCTTTTCCACGTAGTTAATTGCAAAATTGATCCTGAAGATGAGTAACTCATTTTAAAATTATTAAATTCATTTTTTTTTGTTCAGTTTAAATATATTTTTATTACTCTTTTATTTTTCATATTTTATTAATTTTAGAATTTTAATTCACTCAAAAATAATTTTAGTTTTTTTTTTCTTCATCTTAATTTTGATTTTTATATCAAAAAAATTTTTCTTGACATTTTGATACAATTTTATTTATTATTATTCTGATTTTTTAAGGTTATAAATAAACATTATCAATAAATGAGTTTTGAAAAATTTAATCAAACTGAAATTAGCGAGTATTTAATATTTTTTTTTTTTTTTTTTTTTTTTTTTTTTTTTATAGAAAAAGTTTATAAAATTACAATTACAATTATCATTAAATATTTATTAGAATATTGTATTAATATTATTTATTTTCATAATTATTTATATTATACAAACAAATATTAAGTATTTAAATCTTACAATTTTTTAACAATTAAATTATTGAGAAAAAAATTTTACATGTATCTAGAAATTGAAAAAAAATGTTAAGTAAAAATTTTTAGAAATATTTTTTTTATTATAATTGATCTCTAATAATAATTTAAAAAATTGTCAAATGTCAATGAAAATTAAGTAGCCAACATCTAAAATTTTTATAAGTTTTTTTTCATTGAAAAAATTATTATTAAGTAATAAAAAAAAATTTTCATTTTAAAAAAATTTGAAAAACTATCAGTGCAATTTTTAAAAGATATTTTTTAGTTCTAATTTAATAAATTAAAGTTAGATTAATAAATTATGACACTGAAGTTAGCAGACATGTAAAAATTTTTAATTTTTTTATTAAATTAAATTACAACTAAAAAGATATTAATTAAAGTTAGATTAATAAATTATGACACTGAAGTTAGCAGACATGTAAAAATTTTTAATTTTTTTTATTAATTAAATTACAACTAAAAAGATATTTCTAAAAAATTGCACTTATAGTTTTTCAAATTTTTTACAGGTGGCAATTTTTTTTTTTAATTGTTTAATTGAAAATTTTTCAATAAAAAAATAATAAAAATTTTGAAATGTCGGCTAACTTAATTTTCATAATAAATTAAAAAATTCGTGGGAGAATTTAAACATACATCGCCATCTGTCACCAAACTACAGAACTACATTTCCCCAAATCCCCGAGAAAGAAGTCGATAATAGGAAATTTGTAGCGCCACGGTCGCGGCATTCACTCACTTCTCAACAATACAAATACACTCACCCGAAACAAAAATTACAAATTACCGAGTTGCCGAATCGCTATTCATAAAACAAAGCCACTAAAGTGCTAAAATAAAACTAATCTCCGTAAAAATAATTAAAAAAAAACGAGCTGTGAAACTAAAATTTATCATTTCAGTGAATATTTTTTTTTTTAAAACCAAAGTTCTGACTCACGTAGTACATCGACATTTAGAAGTCAGCCATCTTGCGATCCTAATCAAAGATCTTTTGCTAGCGGGTTTCGTTGTCTGGTTTTTCGGCCAGTTAAATATCAACACACACTTCATCAGATGGCTTTAAAACGAATTAATAAGGTACGTTAACATTTAATTGTCTTATTAAATAATAAACATCATTGTAAATAATCATTCTCTCGTAAATATTCAGTCATAACGCCCAACGGGGTTACAATTGGAGCAATGAAAGCTAGGCATTAAAAATCGTCCCTCATTCACTTACTCACTACGTCCTTTTTCGCCACATACATATATATATGTATGTATTTAGCATACATATATATGTATCGACATATATATTTATAACTATATATATATTCATCATTAACGTACGTTATAAATAAATAAATTGTAAAAAATTTTTTTATTCAACTGAAATATTTTTCTCTTTCGCCAATCAATAATTTATTTAATTGTTATTTTTTTTTTTTATATAACTATGATTATTATTTATATCATAATTGATTTATTTTGTTAAGGACAATAAAAAATTGTCAAAAACATTTTTTTGAATGCCCAACTTAACAAATTACCGGAAGCAACGTAAAAGCGCACATTATATCTATATATATACTCATATAGACATATATGTATGTACAATACATATATTTATATATATATAATACATGGATTCATGGAATGTACAGATGATGTAAAAATTATTTGTAAAAAAATTAATTTAATTATCTATAAAAAATCTTAATAAGAAACTAATTAAAAAATAATTATAAATATCAATAGGTAATAATTGAAGGGTTGAGTAATTAATTATTGAGTGTAATTGATCATGAAACAGGTTAGGAATTATTAGTCATCTGGGCTTGATGTCGACGATAGCATATAGGTGCACTGTCATTTTGTTGTGCAATAATACGCTTTAATATTTATATTTATTGTTATATTATTTGTAAATGTAAATCATCACCAGGTTATCAGAATAAACTATAACAATGGAGACTGAAGGTTTATCAGGATGTTTTTGTATGTACTTAAACTGATAGTTTATAACATTAAATGGAAATCTTATCGCTAAAAGCGGAGTACAATAATTAGAAGCATAACTAATAATCTGTTAAGATTATTTTTATTATTGTTTGTCGTAAATATTGACGAAAAGATATTGATAGGAGAGTATTTTTGGATAGTTTAATTTTAAAACACGTGGACGCTTGGAATTGGTTTTAGTTCAGTAAACTTAACATGCATCGGATCTGTTGCTGATTTACTTTTTTTTTTTTGTTGCAGGAACTTCAAGATCTTGGAAGAGATCCACCTGCACAATGCTCCGCTGGTCCTGTAGGAGAAGATTGTAAGATTTATTATTTAATGTATTTTATACTTGAAAATTTTTTAAAAATATCATTATTCTAAAAACTAATTTTAAGAAATAACATGCTTAGAATTTTGGACTTTGTTATGATGATTCAGAATTTAACGCTGTATTTTTATAGTCAAAATTTACACAACGGTCTTATGGAATTACTTAGAAATTTATATTCTCAGTTCAGATTCAATGACTTGGAAAATTATAGAAAAGAATTTTAATTGCTTCAACAACTCTGTTTATCTAAAAATAAATTTTTCCAGCAATTTTATTGTGTATGATCAACATAATGAAAAAAAGTAATTAGAGTAGACAATAATGAAGTAGTGTGAAAATTATAATTAGGATTAAATAAGCCAACTTATGTGTTAGGATTATCGAAATGAACTTGACTGAATTTAATTTATTTTAATATAAATTACATAAAGTTTAATGAAAATGAAGTTAGCTGACATTTCAAAATTTTTAGAATTTTTTTTTTTGAAAAAATTTCAATTAAACAATTAAAAAAAAACAATTTCACATGTTAAAAACATAAAAAACTATAAGTGCAATTTTTTAGAAATATCGTTTTAGTCGTAATTTAATTAAAAAAAAAAATCAAAAATTTTTATACCTCTGCTAACTTCAGTGTCATAAAGTTTAAGGACATGAAGGCCATTACAGGAAAAAACTCAATAATAAATATTTTTTTAGGAAAATCGATAAATTGTATAATTTATTTAAATGACGTTTTTTTATTTTTGTTACAGTATTTCACTGGCAGGCGACTATAATGGGACCAGTAAGTATAAATTATAATTTTTTTTTTAATTTCTTAAAATCAAATAATTTTTAATTATTTAAAATACCTAGTTGATATTAATAATTAAATCATGTTTTATAGCCTGACAGTCCGTATCAAGGAGGTGTATTTTTTCTTACAATTCACTTTCCCACAGATTATCCATTCAAACCACCTAAGGTAAATAATACAAGCCCGTATATTTTTATTTATTTAAAAAATATTTATTAAATAATACTATTTATATTAATTATTTATTATTGACATAACAGGTAGCATTCACGACCAGAATTTATCATCCAAATATAAACAGTAACGGTAGTATTTGCTTGGATATTTTGAGATCGCAGTGGTCTCCAGCACTTACTATTTCAAAAGGTATTTTATAAATTTTATAAACGAAATTTACAATAATAATTCGTAAATTAAATATACTAATCAATAAAAATTATTTACAGTCTTACTATCAATATGCTCTCTGCTGTGCGATCCAAATCCCGATGACCCGTTGGTCCCAGAAATAGCGAGGATATACAAAACCGATCGAGAGAAATACAACGAATTGGCACGTGAATGGACGCGCAAGTATGCCATGTGATGCGTCAATTTCTGTTGACTTCAATAAAAAAAAAAAAAAAAAACAGCAACAACAAACAAAAATAAAAAAAAAATAAACACCACCACCAACGAGCAGCCCTCAGCCTAATGCCACTTATCTCGTTCAGCACCGATTAAAACTAGCAATCGCTCGTTACAATTATGATGATGACGATAATGGTAATTTTATGAGTTGTGCCGCAATTAATGCTCGCAGACGCATACGCTCAGGTCATAAAAAATCAATAAAAATAAAAAAAAAAAATAAGTAATGTTAATTAATAATCTTCAAAGCAACCACGTGATTATCCACGCAAAAATAATTTATCTCATCACATTCTGGTCAATATATTAGCCTGCGAGTTATTTTTATTTATACATTTTTTTTTTTTTTCGTTTTTAAAACGGGACAACACTAGGCTACTCGAGGCACTTTACAAGGTGGCTACACTTACACTAAACACGTTTGAAATACAATCTAAATAATTTGAAAAAAAAAAAAAAAAAAAGAATAAAAAAAATAAATGTCCGCTTTGATTTTTCATAATAAAATAAAACAACAAAACTAAAACTATAGGTGTGAAAGTAGGATTTGTATTTGAATTAGTTTAATTTTCAATGAATATGTGCTTATATATAAATATTAATTAATTGTAATTATTGATAATAATATTATTAATAACTACCTACTTTCTCAGTGACTACGAATTGGTAACATCACATCGGTTGTTAGTTTTTTAAAATTATAATATTCGATACTGAGCGTTACCCGTCCCTGGGAACAATGCGGTTACTTTTTTGTAAGACTGGGCTCTATAAATAATATTACTTCAATACCTATTCCGTTTTGTTTCATTATTATTACTATTATTAATTATTAATTATTAATTATTACTCTTGATAAAAAAAAAGATAAATAATAAATATGTCACCTGTACTCATTTTTATTTTTAAATTTATTATTTGCATCTTAGCTCGTTTTGACGGTGTGTGAAACTGAAAATAAAATAATAATTTAATTAATTGTTTATTTAAATATTCGTGGCTGAACGGCAAAATGTGACAAAGGCTCACTGGTATATAATATTATACATAATTAATTAATTATAAATATCAGTTGTATTTATAATGGTAATAATAATAATTATTATTAATTAATTAATTTTACATTGTTCAAAATTAAATGTTCAATCACTTTTTAAAACAAATAATTATAAATCATAATAAATCAACTCTTTTTTGCGTTTTCAATAATTTATTGACATTTTTTATGTAGTTATCCCTTTTATTACTGTTATTATTATTATTAGTATGCATATAATTAATAATTAATTTTTAATAAAATAAATACTACTTGCCGTTACTGCCATGTCGCGTTTGCCGCTCAACCACGCCAAGCTAATGGCATTTTATATTAATTATTAATAATATATATATCAGAATCAAACTAAGTAATTTTTTTTTTAAATCAATGGGGCTTTATTGACAATTATCTTGTTCGTGGTGTCCTTCACTTCAACAATTATTTGAAAGTAAAATTTTAAACATAATTGTTATTTATTTTGTCATTTAGTTATTTAAATTAAACATCGGACAATAATGAACAAATATAATTTCAAAATAATGAAACATGTTTAGCCAGTAATATAAAAATTATTAATTTATTTATTAAAATAAAATAAATCTTTTATTACATTGTAGCTGTGAAGGAACTTGTGAGCTCAATTTAAACAAAAGTAATTATTACTCATCATTATTTTTTAAATTTTTAAGCGTTAATTGAACTTTTATTGAAGAACCCTCGCTAGAAAAATCCTTGGTAATAGAAAAAAAAAAAAAAAAAAGAATTTGTGATAAGGATTTTTTACATTGCACGTCTTACTTATTAGCGGCGTTTTTTAATCGCAAACAATAATAAATTTTACCGTGATACGCCATGATCGTGGATCTCTTAATTAGAGAGTAAGATTAATGAAAAAAATATTTAAAAAATAAAAATGAATGAAGCGTGTCCAGTGTAAGAGGTTGAAAAATTTTGTAAAGCACGAATTATCAGTGGTGCTTATGAATAAATAATTTAAACAACAACAAAATATTTAATAAAAATGTAAGAAGTAGTGAAAAATGTTTTTTTGGAAGTTCATCGATGCCAACATTTTGATTCGGATGTAATGGACTTTTGTATTTCATAAAATGGTTTATTTAAAAAACGCGGCACTAGAGGTATTTAATTAAATGAATTATTTTTAGTGAATAATACGGAAAAATATGAAAAACTTGAATAATTTAAAGAGAAAGCAATGATTAATAATTTTATTATTTAATGAAATATAAAATGAATAATTATTACTCCGAATCATTGTTAATTTTGTTAGAAAAAAATTGATGGAAGAAATGATACAGTTCATGTGTGATTATTATAATTTTTTAAAATGCAATGATGAACATTTTTAATAACTTATCTTGTGTACATTTTAGCATTAGCCCTTTATATAATAAAGTCCACGTAATAATAATATTTTATAGATAACCATAATTATACATTTATCTTCACATTTAATTAAGGATTTTTTATCTTAAAAAATTTAATTTAATTAAATTTCAATCAGTTAACTAACGATCAGTTACCTACTTAAATTATCAAAATTAAAATATTTTATTTTATTAATCTGCTATTACAAATATATAAAATTGAGGTTTATTGAAGAGTAAAAATTACAGTAAGCGCTTTAAATTGTATTCACTAAATTTATTAGATAAACTGCTTGAATAAATACAAAGCCAACAATTTAATAGCTCACAAAGTAACCTATCCGCTCTACTAAGATCGAATAATTGTTTTTTTTTTTTTTCAGTAGATGAATTACATTTTTAGCAATTCATCATCAACATCATACAATATTTATAAGTAAGCAATAGAACAGTTAGAAATTTTTTATGTAATTTTATTGTCGGCTTTATATTTATGTAAGCAATAAAACAGCAATTATTATTTAGTTATAGGAAGTATATAATCAATTACTTATTAAGAAGTAAGTAGTAATTTTTTTTTAATTTCAAAAATTGTCGGTATTTTATAAATAATAACAAAAGATTTTAATACCTCAATTTTATAGTATAATTTATGGGATAAAATTTATTGATGTAATTAACAATTTAATAGCTCACAAAGTAACCTATCCGCTCTACTAAGATCGAATAATTTTTTTTTCAGTAGATGAATTACATTTTTAGCAATTCATCATCAACATCATACAATATTTATAAGTAAGCAATAGAACAGTTAGAAATTTTTTATGTAATTTTATTGTCGGCTTTATATTTATGTAAGCAATAAAACAGCAATTATTATTTAGTTATAGGAAGTATATAATCAATTACTTATTAAGAAGTAAGTAGTAATTTTTTTTTTAATTTCAAAAAATTGTCGGTATTTTATAAATAATAACAAAAGATTTTAATACCTCAATTTTATAGTATAATTTATGGGATAAAATTTATTGATGTAATTAAATAGCAAGAAATTATTATAAGCGACTGCTGTTTATGGTATTTTTTAAATAGTTCATTGAAAAATTTTTACAATCATTCTATTCTACTGAATTAAATTTTTTAACTAAAAATTTTTTAAATCATCCAAAAAAAATTTGTAATAATTGTCTATAAAATTCTAAAGAATTAATTTTTAAATAAACAATTTTTTACTTTTTTTTTTTAGATCATAAAAAAGCGAACAAAAGTCAAATTATCAAAAAAATTTGAAAAAATGAACTTTCAACTGAATATTCAAAATAATTATTCAAGTACTTAAAACAAATAAATGAACCCTCAGTGTAAATAATAAATAAACGAAGGAATCGATGAAGTTAAGGTAAATGTCCAAGGAAAATGTTAGCCGGTTGTATAAAACTTCCCGACTGACAATGAGTTTGACGTGTAAAGTCCGAGGAACGGTGAGAGTGGCTCGGTCGTAGGTGGTGACGCAAGAGGTAAACGAGTAAGAGGGCCCCTACTTAACTCGAAAAGTTAACTCTTGCGAATCGACGTGCTACAATAATATAATAATAATATAATGTATACGAGCAATCTCGTAAGTCGTAAGTCGTATGGGAGAGACTAGTGGAAACCAGGAGTTGAGTGAGTCGCTCCGGCGATCAGCAGCCCAGTCCAGTCGCGTCTTTCATGCCCGTGGTTTCTTCATATCGGAATTCATCATTACGTAGTTTTAATAATTATTCCGAAGAAGAAAAATAAAATATACCTGAAGTAATAGCAGTCACTTAAGACGATTGCTATTTTTTTTTTATTTTGTCATTTTTATTTATATTTATATCGAGATATTTATCACGACGACCTCAAGAGTGTCCTTTGGCCTTCTCGGATTTTATTTAGTTACCGTGAGATGAAAGCCGCCTGACTGGACTCAATTCAGATTTTAATACTATTCACGAAGACGGCCCTTGACCCTGCCTCTTCATATTTGAGGTAGGTTTCATATTTTTTTTTTTGTTTACTTTCGCTAATTTATTTTATTTCGAAATTATTTATGTAAACATTTTAAATAAAAAAAAAAAAAAAAAGTTTTCTTGATAATTAAAAAAAATTTTTTTTTAATTTGTGTTTTATCGAAACTTAAAAATTTTTGTAATAAAATAAAATTTTTTAAATGTAAATTATGTGAGTCATGATTTAGTTCATTAATTTACTGTCAGTTAAAAAAAAAAATTTAATTAAAAAAGCATTAACTATTTTTAAACGAATAAACAGTTATTCAAAACCAAGAGTCATCTTAGCTTAATCTTACATTTCTTCTTCTTCGCCTTCTAGCCTCTTACGTAAAAAAAAAAGGCCATTTGGCACCAGCCAAGATGGAAGGTAGATTTCATGTAATCCATGATTTTAATTACGATATTATGAATAATTATTATTCCTCAAGTTTATCAGAAAAGTAAATCGGCTGCCAAATTTTAAAATACAGTGATTTATTAGATTTTCGAAAATTTCAAATGGCTGCCATTTCTAAACTATTTGAGGGATTTAGCTCATTTTTTAACTCATCCAAGCTAATTGTATATAGAATAAGTCTACCAAATTTCATAAAGATTCATTAAGAATTCTGGGAGTAATCGTGTCCACAAGTCGCGTTGTGTTGTGTGCTTGTCTGAAACTGATTCAGATGACATTCAGCTTCTTAAACTTTTGGAGTAATTGATGAAAAGTAAATTTGTTATAGGTTAAATTAAAGAAAATTTCATAAGCTATGAAACAAAATGCAGAAAAACGATCCATCATTTCTCAATAAAAAGTTATTCCCTAGTAAAGATTTCTAAACTATTTGATGGATTCAGCTCATTTTCAAACTCATCCAAGCTAATTGTCTATAGAATAAGTCTACCAAGTTTCATAAAGATTCATTAAGAATTGTGGGAGTTATCGTGTCCACAAGCTGTGCGTTATATTACATAAATATATATATATATATACATATATAAACTTCCAAACCAACGTCATTTTTAAGCCTTACTCGACTAAATAATTGATATAGTAACGAAATTCGGTGTGAATTTTGACACAAGGGCCAATGCAATAGATAGATTTTATGAAATCTACCTAATAGATGGATAAACAGTTAATTCAATCAGTAACCTTTTTTGTTAAATTTTAAAATATTTGGTAATCTACATCTAAAACTCTTACGTGAAAATAACTACCTGGGATACATTTCTCTCGGTAAACTTTCACATAAATTAGATCCGAACAAATCTGGTGGTTCTTATGTTAAGAGAAAGTGAAAATGAATTCCATTATGTCGAATCAAAACTTTTTAAAAAATATCTTGATAAGCACGTCCCATTTGATGAAAACCACGACTGTGCAACTTTTAATCTAATGATATGAAATTTATTTTAAATATATTTATCAACAATATTCGTAATTGTCCACTTAATGTCGCCAGATTCATCCGTGTAATAATGATTACGTTTTTTATTGTTATTTTTCAACAAAACTCTGTCTGATTGAGAGAAAGTTCAACAATCTTTGAGCGCGCTTACAATAAAATTAAGCTGAATGATAATAAAGTATATAAATTAATATTAAAATTTTTTCATATAAACATTTGTTGTGAAGTTGACGGGAAGATAAATTCAAGATTTACGGAAAGAAAGTACTTAATATTCAGGCACATGTCATGCGAACAATTCACGATTGTGACTTAATAAATCACACATAATTTTAAAAATATGAAAAAATAAAGTTGTCTTCATTTGCGATAATTTAAAATAATATTTTTACAGGTTGTCTCTAGAAAAAGGCTTTTCAATGATGAAACTACTGGCAGGTGTGGAGCAGGTCAATGACGAAGAAACTAAAGAGTTAAATAACTCCCAAACGCTTATTACTAATAACAACAATATTAATAACAATAATAATAAATCAAGCTCTGATAAAGAAGTTACTAAACCATGTTTGAGAAAAGTAAGTCAATTTGTTTGTTATTTATTTTTATTATTATTATTTTTTTGTTATTGTCATCGTTAATGTTATTTTTTTATTAATAATACTCCCGAGTTTACATTCGAACGAATTGCAAGGACACGCTGAGTATTTTCCGGGTTTCATCGCTAATATATATGATTTCGAATATGTACGGCATTTCTAATGTTCGCTCTTGAAAGTTATGACTTACTGAGTCTATTTTTCCAGTGAAATTTTATTACTGTCAACTAATGTAAAAAATTGAATTTTGTCTAGGAAAGTAAGAAAGTTAAAAATATTTGAAGATATAACAAAGTCAAAAAATTTGATTATTGTAGTCCGAGATGTTATTGTAATGCGTAAAAATTAAAACAATCATGATGTATCAGGTGTGCTGAAAATAAAAATTATTTAAAAGAAAAATTGGGTAATTTGCCATGATCAAATATTAATCTGGGGCAAATATTTAATTTATTTGAATAATTGAATTGCGTCAAATAAATTTAATGAAAGATATAGTTAATCATGTACATTTTTAAAAATTTTTAATTTATTGATAAATTATTTTTTTCCAAATTATAATTACTCATTACCACTAGTGTATTTATGACAAATTTCTTTTAGAAAATTTTTTTACATTGAAATTAAAAAATTAAGTTCAAGCCAAAGTTGAGTGCGACTCCTTAATTAAATAAACAAAGCTCATTTAAATTGTCTAAAGATTATAAACTATCGAGCTACAAAAATAATCCAGCGTTTTCCTTGAACTTTGACTTATCGAACTATTATACTACTACAGTTTACTTCTGACGATCAAATAATTAATGTCAATCAAATAATAAAATTACTTGTCTTTTGTTTCCAAAGTAAATATTAACATTCTCATAAAAAATTATTTTAAAAAAAATCTTTTGTGATCGCGGCAAAATATTGCGGTCTTTGGACTTGAAAGAAATATTCCTTTTTTTAATGGGTCTGAAAAATTTTAGCCCAAAAAAATTTACGAGCTTCCAGAATAGAATTCCCTTTTAAATAAAAATTCATGTTTAAATTTAAAAGTTTTTGTGACTCTATTTGACATTTTAAACTTTGTTAAAAATAAATTCTACCTTTGAATTTTCTAAATTCATTGAAATTTCAAACTAGTTAAAAGGCAAGGTTTTATTCAAAAATTAATCACCTAAGTTTATAAGTTTAATAATTCTTCCGTGTCAATACAATCTTTCTCTTCAGTTGTCCTAAGACAAAATAAATAATAAAGTACCATTCTGTAGATTTAAAAGAAATAATAGAACCTGAAGACTTCTCTCATAAATATTCATATAATTTCCCATGATTTATTTTTCATATAAAAGTAAAATAATTGAGGAATGAAAATGATCGGCATTTAAATAGATAAATAGGTAAAGGTATAATTTAAAAATGTGGATGTAATTGGATAGGATGAAACACGCCTACGGTGGACTTGACACAGTGAGATGAAAAGCAGGTTCCGTTCGCGACCTACTTGCTTTCTTTTATCCAACTTTGCTACTTTCTTATTATATTATAGCTACATCTCATCGCGATACGGGATAGTTTATAGTGAATAGTAAATAGTTTGTGATACACGATAGTTAATATGAATGTTTCTGCTTTTACTGAGCCCATTAAATGTACAGCTATAGGTATACACACACTGTCTTTACACTGTATCTTTCTGAATAGAATAATGTAATCTCAACAGATAGTTAAAAAAAAATTTTTTTTATTTCAATTTGCGGCTTTTTATTGAAATATTTTATTATTTATTACAAAGGACAAGTAAAAATGATTTACTTTCTGTAAGCTATTGATTTTTTACGATTTTCATTGAAAGTTATGGCTCCTTCAATACTTATAATTTACCAAAGAATTTACAGTAAAAAATTCACCTTCAGTTTCAAATTAGTAAAAAAGATCGTAAGATATTTTTACTTTTGTCGATAGAAAGTCCTGTAAATTTAACACTTTTTTAATTATATATTTTCATTTTTAGTTAATTAAGCTACAAATAATTTAAAAAATTACCAGAGAGTAATTGAATAGAGAGCAAACAAAAAATTAATTGCAGTACGCAAGTAAAAGTTTAGTTCCGTTGCTAGCAGTAACATCTTCAACCTAATCATTAATAATTTTCTAATCTCTTTCTTATCAATTAGAGAAATGTAATAAAAACAACTTGTTTTGAGTTGAGGAAAAAAAATAAATGTCAATCAATAACAGTAAATTATAAAGCGGATCTTTGGTATAAAAAGAAATGATTAAGTATGTAAATTAAATCAGTGTGACCTTATATTAATTTAGTTATGAAAGAAATTTTCGAGTGATGAAAAATATTTTTGTTGATTAATAACATCCGCGTTTCTTTATTTTTTTTCTTTTATCATATTATTCATTCATTTTTCTCTCGCGATAAGTAAAACTGGTTTTCATAATTAATACAAGAGATAAATAATATAATGTGTAAATATAAAATCTATGCAACATCAATCTTCGTACGGATGGTAGTCAACATTTGCGGGAAGTAATTTCTGTAATTAGTCAATAAAAATGTTTATGTTTTTCGTTATTAATATAATAATTATTTTTTTTAAACTTAATATGAAATGTAAAATCATAAAATAAGAAGTATAAAAAATAAATTTCTTTAGAAATCGACCTATTGTAATTTTTATATTGCAATTAAAACATAAATTTTAGTGCAATTTAAAATAAAACTGACTTGAAATTATATTCAAATTTTTTTTAATTAGAACGTTAACTATCAATATTTATAGATAAAATTTTTATTAATTATAAAATTTTATTGCTCAATATTTTCTGGAGATACGGGGAATTCTTAGTATTTGAATTTAAAAATAATTAAGAATTCAATTCTGCTTATTTCCTAAACTTAACAACAAAGTTTTAGTTTTTCTGATCAGTCTAGAGTTTGATATTATGTAAAATTGTCCTTGAAATTGCTTTTACTTTAAAGTTTTCTCTTTAAAAAATAATGAAAAGAAATTTAAAGTTATAAACTTATAATCAAAAGTTTATAAGTCATATTTTTTTAAATAATCGATCAATGGTGAAATAATAAAAGTAATAAATGCGTGCATATAAATAATTCATTTTTCCCAAGTAATTATAATTATTATTGCTTTAATACATATGCAATATTGATTTCAATGCAACTAAGTTCATAGAAAAGCAAAATCAATAAAAGTACTGTGTTATTTTTCATGCATATTTCTCGTATTAAGTTCAATAACAGTGACATTGTTATCGCCTCAAAAATATTCTCATGTATAAAGTAACAATCTTGGTATGTTTAATCAATAAACACTTGTACGTAAATGAACTCTCGATATTAGCTAACAGTATGATAATGATGATGATGATGATGATGATGATGAATAATAATTTGATTGGTTATTTCATTGTAAAGAAAAAACGCGACAGAATTCCATTGGATGATTTAGAAGATCTTTCTAGAATACAGTGTAATACATAAGCATTCAATGTTAGAAATTTAGATTTTCAAGGGTCAATTTTACTTGCTACATAACAATGTCGATTAACTATTCGATTTCCGCTTTCGTGATCTCGTGAATCGAAACGATTTTCTACGCAAAACTTGTTACAATAACAAGTTACGTTAGACGTCATTCAAATAGATTAAATTTATTGTCATGCTCGTATCAAGGTAATATGTTATTAAAAAGTGAACGATGGTTTCATTCAATATTTATTTTTTTTTATTATTAACTCATTAACTTTCATGTAAATATGTATGTTGAGATAAAAATATTAATAAAAAAGCAGTACTGTTAATTACACATCTCATTCTGATTTTTTATTTTTTGGGATCCGGAAGACTTTTTAACTTTAAATTGAGCATCAGGACTAAGAAGTAATTGACGTAGACTGGCCTACTTGTTTTAGTGAAATTCATTGAACTTATGGCCTTAATACATTCGACATTCAGTTTTTAGACTTCCTTGTAATGTGTTGTTAATTACTCACAGTTTGAGTTACAAAAAAAACACTATTCATTGTAAATTGCGCTCGATTATAAGGAACGGCTTTCAGCGGCCCGAAAATTAATGCTTAAAATTTCTTAATAAATGTTTTTGATAAAAACTTTAATTGATGGGAAATTAAATGAGTATATTTATTTTTGTTCTTAGTTGAAGACAACTGCACACGTCAGACCAAAGGAGCCAGCTGATTCGCCAATAAAAGGTGAAATTACTCCAGAAGAAGAAGAAAAATTGCGACGGCTGCTACCGATCGAGGAAGCACCTGAATATCTTACACACAACCCATTCATTTTACACGGGTATCGTGGGTACTTGACAACTAAATTATGTATAGAAAGGTAATTAATAAAAAATTATACACTAAATAATCATAAAAAAAAATAAATTCTTATGACAACTTTATTTTTCCCAGTATATTCTGGTGGACAAATGAAACCATAAATATATGGAGTCATATATTTGGTTGGATGCTCTTTTTAGGTCTAACAGCGTACGACCTTTGCTTGCTCAATATACACGCTCCTTTTGGAGACAAAATAATTGTTGCGCTTCTGCTGGTGTGCTTTCAGGTAATAATTACATCACTTAATAATTATTACATCAATTACATACCAAATGTATATGAGTTCACTGAGAATAATAAAAATAAAAAATTTTAATTTTTAGGCCTGTATGATTTTATCATCGATTTATCACACGTTTTCATGCAGGAGCGAAAGAGACTATTGGTGTTTTTTGTGCTACGATTTATTCGGAATAGCGCTTAGTTTACTTGCTATTTATATGTCTGGAGTTTACTACGCTTTTTGGTGTCACAAAGTAAGATTTTTTTGTTATAATTACTTATCATCATCTAAAATAATAATAATTATAAATTATAATTTCTTGCGATTCAGTCTATATTTAATTAATTAATACTAACAACCTTGCAGTCACTATGTGACTGCCGTGACTTGTGAAATATAAATAAATAAAATTTTGTTTTGGTAAATAATGACTTTTGTTTAAATGCACTTTACTTACTTAACTATTGACGTTCTTAGAGATATAAGCTCATCCCGTTGTCATACTTATCAAGAGCTTTCATTTGAGTACCCACATGCATTTTGATATATTTTTCATATATACATATATATGTAATATATATAAATATATAAAAAAATTGATGTGGGTATTCAAATGAAAGGTCTCGATGAGTGTAATGTCGGGGTGAGCTTATATCTTTAAAAATGTTAATAATTCACAAGATACAAGGTCATTTCTTAATTATGTATCTAGAGATCGAGTATTTTCGAATGCAGCCTAAATACTTATCATCATAAATTGACTATTGGTGAGAATGATATGAAACCTTGAAAAGGCACAACTCCAGGTCAAGACCTTTGCAATGACTCTAAATTTTCTTATTCTCTTAATAATACAATGAGTAAAAATTTAATCGCCAAAAATTATGATAAATTTTGAGCAATCAAAAAATATATCTCAAGGGCATAAAAAAAATTTTTTTTTAATTTTTTATTGAATTTAAGTTGATAATTAATTTTTTTATGATACTTGGGATATATTTACAATATCTCAAATTATAAAAATAAAAAATAATAATAATAATTTTTAGGAACTACAACAATTTTACCTGATAACTGTATTGCTCATATTCGTAATCGCGATGGTACTGCAGATACCGAGTCTTGAAGTAAATGGTAACGTTAAATTGCTGGTATTCGTTGGCTGGGCGGCATACGGTGTGTTACCAACACTTCACTGGGGTATCGCTATGGGCGGCATGGAGAACCCAATCGTTAACATGCTGATACCAAGAGTATTAGGAATGTATGTTATTAGTGGGTGCGCATTTGCTATTTATATGAGCAAAATTCCCGAGAGGTTTTTCCCAGGTATTATTTCACAATTCTAGCATTATAAAATATTGTTTTTTGACAAAATTTATAATAAAAATGATTTTAGGTTCAGTAGACTACATCGGATCCTCTCATCAATGGTGGCACGCTCTTGTAGTACTCGCTTTATATTACTGGCACAACACCGGTATGCTTTACGTCGAGTACCGTATGAATCATGGATGCCCCACTAATATGAAGTTGTGATAATTTTAAATAAATTTTAATAATCTTTATAATTATTATTTACCTATAGTATCAATTGTTTATTATTATATAAATTTATATTATCACCGGTAATTAATAAATAAGTTATTTTTATTGAGTTTAAATTAAAAGATCTATTTAATTTCTTACCAATTAAAGTAATTAAAAAAAAATTAATTTCAACAAGATTTAAAATTAAAATTTTTTTTGTTTCAAATTCGAAGAAAATACGTTAGAATTTTCTAGACAGAATATTCTGTTCACGCTTTGGATAATAAAACCGAATCGATAAGTTATCAAACATAAGTTACTTCTTTCCTCTTATAATATATACTACCACAAAGCCGCAAGTAAAAGCGGCTTACCGTGGTAACAGTTCACATCAGTCGATCAAGTAAAATTCGATCAAACTTTTATAAATAAAACTTGATTTTTCTGTTACAATTATAATATCTTATGTATTCTCTTTAATTACTCCATTTAACATAAACTTTCTTAATTAATTAATGTAATATTACTAAATCAAATTTTTAGCATTTAATAGAGAAAAAATGTTCTACTGTACTTGTTTAAATATCCTTAAACTAAAAAATTTCCCAGTATAAAGAAAAAACTTTTTACGCGGATGAAAAATAGCTTACTTAATCTCGGTCTTTAAGAACCGCAACAATATTTTTCTCTTTGTTCTCAGCTCTCAGCTACCGTTAATCTCCACACATTAACTTTTTCCTTCCAAACTCATTCGTCCAAATTATTTTTATTTTTACTTCACCAATTTCGCGGAGTCGCTACTTGTATTAAAACTCTCAACTTACTCGTACCCACACTTTCAGTAATTTATATTACAACCCTCTTTTTTTCTTATTTTCCATCTCTTCTCTTTAATCAACTTAGAACCACTACAAACTTCTTAAAACTTTAGCAATCGATTTTCTCTTCCTCGTTTTTATTTTTATTCAAATCCTCCTTAAACATATTCTAAAAATCAATTTACTTATTCTTACATTTCTTCCTCAATTAAACACTTCAAGTATGTTAAATGAAATAAATCGCTTCAATTTTACCTAAAAAATTCAGATTATCAAAATTATTGCGTACATTAATTTTAAAATACAGTGATTTAAAAAATTAAATATACTCTACATTTTTTTTTTTTATATTAATAGAAAATTGGAAAAAATTAGAAGCAGAAGTAGATAAAAATCTTGAAGATGTTAGTTTTTCATCTCATGTTCGGTAGCGCGTGCGCGAACTGACTCAATAAACATCTGGAGAAGTTCCAGTAAGCCCTAGGGCCAGGCTCTGGATTACCGTTTCTTATACTTTCTTCTACTTCTTTTGCACATACAAATGTAATATATATTATATCCAATACTTGGACGTTTACGCCCACGATCTATGTGTCAAATATCGGAGTTTTTCAACCCGCAGCTATCATCAATCACATCCTTTTACTTTTCAATTTTAATCATCACGGAAAAAACTAAACTATTATAAATAATAAATAGTAATGATATTAAAATTTTTTTTTTAATATTTATTTATTTATTTATTTATTTATTTAATACAGACCCAACAGCCAAAAGGCCAATAACAGGGTCATTAATACATATAATTTTACATATGAACAGTAGTATACGAAATATTACATAGGGTAGAGTGAAAACAATAGAAAATAAATGCAGATTAATTAATTCATTCATTAACAATATGATAGATAGCTATTCCTGTATTAAAATTTAGTTTAAAAGTGCTAACTAATAAATTGAGATATTATGCAAGCTAATAAGAATTAAGAATTAAGTCTAATACTTTACACAATAATTAATCAGATGTTATACATATATATCTAGTTCATTTAATTAATATAGTTAAATTATGATTAATCATATACAGTGCATCCCTAAGTTTAACTTGAAGAAAAAAAAATTAAAGAAAAAGTTAAAGAAAATTATACTGGCTTAATAAATGCCTAGCGATCCTCGGACATCTAGGTAATAAATATTAAATTGCTTTATAGATGTGTTTAATATTGAGAGATGTTGATTGGAGTCGCTTGTCCTTGACGACGCTGCTAATATTAAAAGAAAAACAAAAACAATGATTATTTAGCTTTTCAATAAAATTTACAAAGTTAATTTACTGATTTGGAGTTTTGTCACTGACAATTTATAAAAAAAATAAAAAAAAGGAGTAATTATAAACAATTTATGAACGAGTTATCATTATAAAAATAATTTTATATCAGTAGTAAGTATTATCAGTATTCAACCAACTCCACAGCCAATAATATTCCCAGCCACTAATTTATCTATTTTCTTCAAATACAATATGTGCAATTTTCACTCAACTTCCATCCACATATGTCACATAATGTAAATGACTCATTCGAAATCATTGAGTAAATAAAAAAAAATTTTTTTTTTTTAGCAATAAAGAAAAATAAATTCATAAAAGTAAATCGAACATAAATAATATATTAATTAAAATAAAAAAATAACGCAGTCGTTTAGTCACTTAAAGATTTATCTCTTTTTTGGTGAATTAGGCACCAGGAAAATAATTGTTACCCTCTTAGATCCCTCGAAGAAGAACGCGAAGAGAAATAAGGGCTTGATCGAAGAGCCAAACTTTAAAATCCTGGAGGGCTTGCGCTAAATTTCCCCATACGTCGAGTACAACGAGTTACTCTACTCAATCAGTTGTTGGTTGTCGCTCCTTGCTCCATACTCTTGTTCGTTTAAGGGCGAGAGTTCTACATTTTATTATTATTATTATTATTTTATAAGAACAAGACAAACAAAATAAAAAGAGACAGCTAGGGTGTAAGTGAACAATGTAACACGTTTGTTGTCTCTCTCACGGACGGTGTGCTTCGGAGCCTCCATTAAATTCATTAGGCCATTAGTGGCTGCAACCCTCCAAGATGGCTTCCGTCGTCCTGGCAACCATGTGGATGAGGGCAGAGTACTCACCCTCTCATTTGCTCGCTCACTTACTCATTCACTTCTCTCGGTCTCTCTTACGCCTGACGGGGAGGGTCTTCCCGGGTAATTAGATTCAACGTTGGCACGACGGGGAGCAGAGGTAAGGGTGAAAGGTAGCCGGAAGAAGAGAAGATACTTGTGTACTGTAACTACAGAATACAGAGAGAAGGTCTTGAAGCGCTTGCTGTGGCCGTAGTATGTACAAAGACTGAAACTAGAAAAGGGTAGAGATATATACTCTCCTCTCTGGACCACCAATTTATATACATACACATATATATGAGCTCTCAAGAGGATTCACACGCTCACACTATGCAATGTTACGTTATACTGTCCTTTGACGCACATGCATGTGAATATTCAGCATTACCTTTGTCTTTATATTTATTATTCCTTATTCTCCAGTGAAGGTAATAAAGGTATGGTTGTACTTACACGTGTGGTTACCCGGAGACACTGTAACTACAAAGGACCACGCTATGATTCTCGAGGTTATTTAAATGCTTACGTGGGTATTAAATTTTATTGCTATAACGATGAAATTTGTAGCTGCAATGTATGATATTTTGGTTGAGCTTGAGATAAAAAAAAATAGATATAAAAGATGAGCGAGTTTTCATATTTTTACTCTCTAAAATAAAATTAGTGAAATTTTCACTAATTCAGGTAGTGAAAATTTTTTCACTGTAAAATTAGTGATTTTACTAGATTAATCAGTGGATTTTTCACTACCGCAATTAGTAATTTTAAATTTCACTAATTGAAAAGTCTTTTTTATCAATTAGCAGTTGCTTTGTCACTAATTCTACTAGTAGTTTTAGAATTCACTAATTACGCAGTTGTTTCTACTCGGCGGTTGTCAGTGATTTTGTCACTGATTGTATTAATGACTTCAATCTTCACTAATTTAATAGTGACTTTTCAGAAATCGTGAATAAATAATACACTGATGTTATTTGTGATTCCCTTTTTCACTGATTTAATAGCGCTTCCACTTAAATTATTAGTGGAATCTTCACTAATTTTCGAGTATTATTTGATATCGCTAATTAAAAGTTGAAAACTACGATGCAGTCAATGAAATTCTCACTAAAATTACCTGTAATTTCATTTTTCTCAATTTAGTCATAAATTTCATTGTATATTAATATATTTTTATATTTTACATTTCAAATTCAAATTTAGTCAAGTTTTCACTGATTTTAGTGATATCACATATCACTTATATATAAAACATTCGTATCTGTTAATTATATAGTCGACTCTTTTGTCAATTTTTATTGGAAGTGTATGTGAAAATGGCGTTTCTTGAGTTAAAAAGGCGGGTTTTTTTTTTTTTAATTTAACTTTTTTGTATCCAAGAAGAAATCTAAATGATATTTTTTAAAAATAACTTTAAAAACGATAACCAAAATTTTCACAAAATAGTAATAATTATTTAAAGTTTGATAGCTTCACAAAATTTTTTAACTTTAAATAAAATTATATTTTACATACTCTCTTTCTGTCTCATTCTTCATATTTAACGAACAAAATTTTCTCTTGTTATTGCACACTCTAATTACATTGTAATTAAATTTTAAATAACTCCCTTAGAAATCGTGTTATTGAATTTACTTGTGGTGATATTTAATATGTTAGATCAAAATGATAAAATTGGAGACATTATTTCAGTTTAATATAATAACGTCCCGTAATATTCGAACTATTTTATCTGTATTTATCAATACAAACGTTAATATTTATATATAGAAGACTAGAGCGAGAATGTGATTGAAGCTTCAAAAGACGTAACAAATAAAATTCGGATCAACTTTTGTTTTTGTTAGAACAATAAAGAAACATGTTTATATTATTTTTATTATATTTGAAATGTTAGAAATAGAGTAAGAGAGAAAGACAAGAAAGAAAAGAAGGAATGTGATGCGTGTACTCGAAGAATGTAAGGACCGTGTGATGTGTGATGTAGAGTATAAATTTAGTCGTTTGTATTGGGGGAGTTGTATGTAAGAACGTTGATTCTTAAAATACTACGAAAGAAACTAAATCACGGGGTATTAAGACACGACGCCTTGCAAGCAGGGATTATCTACCTCACTTCAAAGTGTCCTGCAGGTGCAGCCTCTAAGTTTTTAATCATGTCGTTAATTCGTGACTGAGCCATATGTCAGAGATGTAAAATAATATTACAACTCTTGTCTACAAACTCTTGTCTACTATATATACCTACATGCTAAGGATTTATTTGTGTATTTTTAAATTCATTTGTAATACACTCAGTTCCACGAAATATTTTTTTCTCATAGCTCTGATGATATTTAATTATTATTAATGACATCGTTTGAATTTAAGCCTGTCGGAACTTTGAAAAATCACAATTGATTTAAATCATTCAAGGTAAAGAAATTCAGTAAAAAATTTTTTTTATCTATAATTCAGTGGAAAAATTTTATTTCTTGACAATAATAGCTTTGTTTTTTAACTTTTGATTAATTTAATGAGACCGTCAACGGAACAATAAAATTTAAAAATAGCTGATAAATTTTAACTGTAAAATAGTAGAAAAAAAATTTTGATTATATCAGTATCACTCGCAATTTCTGCAAAAACACAACAAGAAATAAATCTCGCCATAATTTCAGAAAAATGAAATTAGTGTTGTACATTTTTGCCACTCTATTATTTATCTCAATGGTACTTACTGCATTGTTAAAAAAATAAATTTAATTCAAGAGGAAAATTCTCGAACCAAAAAATCATTTTGTATTATAACGAAAAATTATTTAATCGGTTTTTTTTTCGGCTTGATTTAAAATAATCAAATTCTTAAGAATGATTTTCTTAATTCAAGAATTTTTGTCTTTAACAAATTTCTTTTTGCAGTGTGTTCATTCACTTACAATAAACAAGAATCTAAATAACATGAGCGAAAAATCAGTAAGTTCCAATAACAGAACACGCAGAACAGTTGTTGTATTGGATAAAAAGGCATTATGGAAGGGTGGTATTGTTCCTTATGAATTTGACTATGTAATTTCTGGAAAACAACGGAGAATAATTAGAAAGGCGATGAGGGAGTGGGAGAAATCAACATGTGTCCAATTCGTCCCAATTGATCGACAGGTTTACCAAAAATATTTACTGTTCACTAAAAGCGAATTATGCAAGTGAGTTTTTCGAAGATAATAATTTTAATAAAATTACAAAGCGCACTTTGGAATTTATTGTTGTAGATGTTGTTTTGCCGACCATGGGCCGAAAATTTTATATCAAACTATAAACTTAGTGGACCAATGCTACCATAGAAACACTCTTCTTCACGAATTGGGACATGCTCTTGGATTCCTTCACGAGCATAATCATCCGGAGCGTGATCAACACATCAGTGTCAATTTTTCTATCGTCGAAAATGGTAAACGAAATTAAAATTAAAAAGATCACATTTATAAAAAATTATTTTGAGAAAATTCATCGTTTTTAATTAAACAGAAAAATTCTTTAATCAACTAAAATTTTATTGAACTGAGAACTATATCTTAGTCTATAAATTCAAGTTAATTTGATTAATTATATTTTATGTTTAGTTTAAAATTTTTTTGTTAAATATTTAACACAAAATTTTTCCATACAAATTTTTTTTGACGCAAAATTTTTTACTGTGCGTCCATTGTATAAATGATTTTTTAATAATGAAAGACTTGTTTATCCAAGTTCATATTATATAATTCTTTTTAATTAAATATAATAGATGATGTTATTCAGTATCAGAAGTATTCATATAATTAAATTGATACTTTGCTTCTGCCGTATGATCATGACTCAGTTATGCATTATTCACAATTCATATCAAATGACAAGTTTTCAATCAATGTCTCAATACCAGTGCCCCAAAATTATGATAAACTTGTTTCCTGGAATAAATTCATTATTGTCAACGACAAACTCAATAATGGTGATATAGCCGCACCAAATCTTATGTATCATTGTCCACGTAATGCCCAAATATTTTTTAATGCTTAAATAAATTTAATTCAAGTATAACATTAAAAGTGAACGAAAATTTTTGTTGATCTAGAGTGTGGGAAAACTTTTTTTGAGGCTACTGGTAAGTTTGAACAAGTATCCACTGATTCAAAAAGTGATCCCGAACGATGCGAATGGAGAATCAGAGCTTCTGGAGGCGAAAAAATTACACTTAAAATAAATTCTCTGAATATTCGCCCGAGTTATCTTTGCTTACTTGATTATTTAGAAGTTAGAAACGGACTCTTGTCTGACAGTCCTGTTATAGGTAAGATTTTATTTAATTAAGGAAGTACGAGCACCAAGGCAACTTTTGATAAAAGGCTTGATTTTTTTTTTAATATGAAGTTTAAATATGTCTAAATAAATTCCGAAAATTTCAAGGAGATTGCCCGATTATTTTAATAAATAATTAACTTTGAAGTTGGGCAATTTAACATTGGTCTTATGGGGTAACCTCCAAACATTGATACATTTCTGTATTTTTCTCGTAAAACTGTCGGTGAATATTTTTAAAAAACTTATAGATGAAAGTAAATATATTAGTGATAAATTTAATTCAAAAAAATTTACACTTACCCGACTAATTAAAGTGTATTAATTAAAAGAAAAATAAATGCCGCCATTAGCCAATGTTAAATGTATATCTATATATTGAGAAAAATCATCTATCCCCACCCCGCCTAGTGCTCGTACTTCCTTAATATTCAACGGTATAGTAAATACTTTACGAAATTTTATTTTTTCAGCACGTTACTGTGGGATCCTCAATGATGCCAAAATCATAGCCAGTAATTTTTTAGTAATTACTTATATCAAAATGTCTATCTTTGGACCTAGTTTTTTTACGGCAGAGTATGAAACCAGCTGTGAAGAAACTGTTTACCTTTATAATGATACTATTTATAATTTGGAGTCGCCAAATTATCCAAATTTTTACATGCCGAATAAAAAATGCCAATGGTACTTTACTGCCCCGGAAAATCATCAGATATCGATAAAATTCAATGTTTTTGCGCTTGAAAAAAGTGACAATTGCATAAAAGATTTTATTAAAATAACAGAAAGCAACAAATCGAAAATTCTTGGAGTTTATTGCGGCTTAATAGATTCATTGTATGCTTATTTCACGGATAATAAATTGGAAGTTGAGTTCTCTAGCGATGGAACGATTGAAGGTTCCGGTTTCTCTGCTGCTGTGATTACAATCAAAAAATAGTTTTAATTATATGTTTCTTTTAACTAAAAAAAATTTTTATGTACTATTTTTTCAGTTGTTATGTTCTCAATAAATTTTTCTATTATCAATCAATAAAAATTATTTCTATCGAGTCTTAAGTGTTTGAAAATAAAACAATAAACTCGAACAAATTCAATTAAATGAATAGATTTTTTTAAGAAATTAATAGCATTGAGTTTTAATAGCTTACGAAATGCCAAAATACAGTTAAATATAGTTGATATACTCAACGTGAATTCTGCTTTTAAAAGTTATCTATAGAAATGAAACTTATACTGTGTCTGTTAAAAGTTAATTATTTTCTTTCAATAATAAAAATATCTAATTTGCAAGTAATAACGGATAATTATGCTGAGAAAAATTTAACAAACGGGGAAGGAAATGAAAAATTTTTAAACAGAAAACGAAGGGCAGTTGTGTTATTACGTACGATAAAAATATGGGAGGATGGTATCATTCCTTATGAGTTTGATAGCAGGGTTAATGGACAGCAGCAACAATATATAAGACAAAGGATGAGGGAGTGGGAAAGATCAACGTGTATTCAATTTGTCCCACGAAATATAAAAATCCATCAAAATTATGTGAATTTTACAAGTACCGAATCATGCAAGTAAGATTTTATTACTATAAATTTTCAATTATATAAATTTTCAATTAGTTAATTAACTGATTTGTTATATTGATGTAGATGTTGTTATTTAAAAACTAACATTAAAATTTATATAAACTTACACGATTATTGCTTTGAAAAAAGTACTATTTTGCACGAATTGGGACACGCTATTGGTTTTCTTCATGAACACAATCGTCCGGATCGCGACAAGTTCATTCAAGTTCAATATTATCATATCCATGAAAGTGAGTAACATAAACATTTTCAAAAATATTCTGAAGGGTTATGATGTAAAAATTTAAATGTAATTTATCATTAAAATATTGAATGTATGAGACAAAATGAGTAACAATTAAATTTTTATTTGTATTAGAGTCTTTGCCACAATATATAAAATATCCGAACCATGGGGTTACAACTTTGGGTACATCCTATGACTATTATTCCGTAATGCATTATGTTAAAAATATAGTTCCAATCGGTCCAATGGCAGATTCAGTTTTGAAAACAGAAAATTCGACACCCAGTGATACTGACATAGCAACAGCTAATCTGATGTATAATTGTTGCAGTAATGTTTATAATAAGCGAAATATTTTTAAACCTTCAGTACTGATGTAAGCTTTTGTGGTAATCATTGTAAAGATAACAAAAAAGTTACTAGTGTGTTAGAATGAGTTTTAAAATATGTTTACAATGTCAGTGCTCAAGGGTTTATTTCTCCACAAATTTTCATTATTAAATTGAAAAAAATTTCCATTTTACACAGGTTGCAAGACAAATTTTTATGAACCTAGCGGTGCGTTCGAGCAACCAAATGATGATAAAAATGGAAAATTTAGTAGTTTTGAAAGGTGTGAGTGGAGAATACGAGCAGCTGAAGGCGAACGAATTCAACTCAACATCTCTTCACTGAACATTTGGAAATCGTATAATTGTGTCCTTGATTATTTGGAAGTTCGCAACGGACATGATCCAAATAGTGAAGTCTTGGGTATTTTGATTATCATTATCAGTATTGATTTGCTTTTTAATTTAAGTAACAGCCTAGATAATAATTTATTATTACGTATAAAACCAAAAATTTTACTTAATTAAAGTGATTTAGTATATTTTTCTATTTCTTTATCAGTAATTCGTAATTTTTCATTGAAAAATATTTTTCCAGCCCGTTACTGTGGAAAAATCGATCAACTCATGGTAATTGCTAGCAATATTATACTAGTTACTTGGGTTAAAATAACTCTTCATTATACTAGCAGCTCTTTTAAGGTCGAATACAAAACCATTTGTGGTAATTTTGTCGATTTAAAAAACGATACTGCTTATAATTTTGAATCACCAAATTTTCCTGAGCCCTATCAACCAAATAAGCAGTGCCATTGGAATTTTTCAGCGCCAGAAAACCATAAAATATCCTTAAATTTTACTTTTTTCAAAATTGAAAAAAGTGAAAATTGTACAAAAGATTATATTCGACTCATAGATGGTAATGATGTCGATAGTCCGATATTTGGAAATTTCTGTGGCGTTAAAAATTATTTGAAAATTAAGTCAACAAAAAACAGGTTGAATGTTTTATTCTCTAGCGACTCACAAGTTCAAGAAGCTGGTTTTTCAGCAACTGTAATTGCAGTGCCAAAAATCTTTAATTAAAAATTGTTAAAACTATAATTGAATTTATTTTTTTCAAGAGTTAAAGAAATGAAATAAAATTTTTCATTTGTTCACTTTGATTTATTGAACTACAAAAAATTATTTATTGCTTTTTTAAGTATCAGAATTTTAATGATTCATTTTCTTCTTTCTATATCGTTCTTAAATTTTTTGTAAATTTTTAAATCTTTATTTGAACCTCTTTTTTTTTTTGAAAAATTTAAAAATTATTTTTAACAAAATTACTTCGTTCCAAATGATAAAAGTACAACAGTATTAAATTTTTTTAATACCGAAAAAGTAATAATAAAATTAAACCATGATTAATCAAACGGAAATGCGCACTTAAGTTGTATTTAATACCTGTATTTTTGATCTATTTCGTCAGTTCGTAAATATCAGCCAACCGTTAAAAGACATTTAGTTATAAAGTGATAAAATTTTGAAATTTAATAAAATCTATAAATACCAAAAATATCAATAGTTCGTTTTTTTCTTTCAGTAGGATTAAAACTATCAATCGAATTTTATATCATTTCGTTTTCATGAAAACGATGCAAATATTGTACTTGGTATTTACTTCAATAGTATTTTCTATTGATTTGACCGTAAGTATCGGTGAGTACTTTAATTATAGTAAAAATGAAACAAATACAACCGACTACTCAGATTTTTTCAATCGTTTTCGAAGAACAGTTGTTCACCTGAATAAAAAAAAACTTTGGAAAGGCGCTGTTATTCCTTATGATTTTGATTTTGTTGTTACTGGTGAACAAAGAAGGCTGATAAAAATAGCAATGAGGGAGTGGGAAAACTCGACATGTGTCCAATTTGTCAGTAGGAGTAAAAAATTACACAATCAATATTTGTATTTTATTAAACACCCACCATGCGGGTAAATTTTATTTTATTCTATAAATCATAAATTTTAATAATAATTTATTTTAGCATTATCATGTTCAATGAAATTAGACTAATTATTGCAGATGTTGCAATATTGAAAGCAATACTTTTAGGCCGGATAAGTTTCGATAATTTTTGCTATCACAAACATATCCTTCTCCATGAATTAGGCCATGCAATTGGATTTCATCATGAACACAATCATCCAGATCGTGATCAGTACATTAATGTTAATTTTTCTATCATTGACCCAAATAAGTAGAATTATTTGAATAAATAATAAAAAAAAAAGTAAAATTTTCGAATAATATTTTTTAAATTTTGGCAAACAGAAGTGAAAAGTCAGTTTCAAAAGTATCTACCAAGCCAAGCCGATACACTCGGCTTACCGTATGATCGTAAATCTATTATGCACTATCCATCGTTTATACTTATTGAAAGAATATTCAAAAACATATCAGTATCTGTACCTGTGCTGCCAGCTTCTGCCTCTAATGAACATTTAGGAAAGGCAGTAATCCAGAAAAATTTAGAACTCAGTGACGGTGACATAGCTGCTGCTAACCTCATGTACCAGTGTCCAGGTAATACAATATGATTATATATTGCACGACTAATAATGCGAAAGTATAGAGAAAGTTCCACGATTCAAAATAATTTTATCTAAATATTTGGTATTTTACAAAACGTAAGTATCAACACTGATTAAGAAATCTAATTTGAAATTATTAAAACAATTCAAAATGATTTAAGTTAAATAATTTATACAGAGAAAAAAAAATTTACTTGAATCAAGTAAATAATTTTGAAGAATTTCATTATCTTGATTTTACTTGAAAAAATCTTAAGCTAAAAAATTTTTCTTGGTTTAAGTAAATTTGACTTGATTTAAAAATTTTTCGTTTTGATTCAAGTCAATAAAACTCTTCAAAATTATTTTCTTTATTCAAAAATGTTTCTCTTGATTCAAAAGATAATTTTTTTTATGGATTGAATCACTTCAAATTAAATTTTTTAATCACAGAAGCATGTTTTTAATACAGGCTGCGGGAAAACGTTCTACGATCCAACTGGAGCTTTTGGGTATTCCGGCACTGATTTGATACTCGACTTTGAGCGATGCGAGTGGAGAATCCGGGCAGCTGAAGGCGAACGAATAAAACTGAAAATCATAATATCAAGAATTCATCAGACCTACAATTGTTTACTAGACCATGTAGAAATTCGAGATGGAAATGCACCCTCTAATCCTTTTATAGGTACATTTTTACTACACTGAGTTCAACTGAAACTTAACTATTTTTGGATTTTATTTAAACATAAATTAAGTTCTGATAATTATCTTTAAAAAATGATATATGTAGTTTTTTATAATTTCTACATAGAATAATTTTTTTATGTTTTAGTTGTTGATTATTATTTATTACATTAATTAGTGCTAAGTACTTGAAATAAATTTATTCTAGATCTCTACTGCAGCAGACTTGAAAAAATAAAGATTTATCCGACAAATAACTTGCTAGTCGTATATGTTAAAATGAATCATCCCAACATCATCGGCGCTTTTGAAGCCGAATATGAAACCATTTGCAATCAGTTTGTTGAATTGGAAAGTGGGATGGTTTATAACTTAGAGTCTCCAAATTATCCGGAAAATTACAAACCGAATAAAAATTGCAATTGGTACTTCTTGGCACCGGAAAATCATCAGATAAATATCAAGTTTGATTTCTTTGACATTGAAAGCAGCCACAATTGCAAGAATGATTATGTGAGTATTGCAGAAGGTGACGATCAACGATTGAAGCAAATTGGGGTTTATTGTGGCGTTAGAAATGCTTGGCAAGTCAATTCGACGGAGAGAAAAGTGTATGTTAAATTTTTTACTAATCAATCCAAACAAGACAAAGGTTTTGCTGCAACTATAAGTTCAATTATGATTTAATTATTGATTGATTGATTAGATGATTGTTCTGATTAAAATATTTTGTCGAAATAATTAAGGAAAAATAAAAAAATTTAAGAAAAATTGAATTTATTTTTTACTTATCTTTAAAATTTACACATTCAAGATTATGTCACAAAGATTTTTTTACATTTTAACTATTTTCAAAACTATAATCGAAATAATACCTCAAGTTCTAATAAATCGATTTACTTAAAATTCGGTATAACCCCTCTTAAAAAGTATCAAAAATACATTCTTGGATAACGAAAATTTTCTTAATAGAACTATTTTTTTCTCGCTGTAATTGCATAAGGAAAAATAAACGAATAAATTAAAAATTTTTTAAATAAATGAATCTAATGAGTAATATGATATAAAAATTGAAATTAATTATTATAAACACAAAAAGAATATATGTATAAGCGAGTATATTTTCTGAGGTAGCATCGAGTTACTCACGACGGTAAATACAGAATTTCCTCTCCCAATTCTCTAAGCCACATCTTGAGCCCTCAATTTCACTAGAGTAAAAGCTCAACGAAAAGCGTGATAAAATGGCTTCTTATTCTCGCGTTTATATTCAATCTCGAGGCAACTGGGTAGGCACAAAGGGCTTCATCTGAAACACGTTAGTCGCCGTTCACCGCTCTCAACATATATCTCTGTCATATATCTATATACAGAGATATACCGACAGATACATAGATACATAGGTGTTAGTGTTGGTATAGAACCGAAGGGAGTAAATCGGTTCCGATGCATTATGTAGTATCTCCTTGATCCTCTGTAATGCATCTATGCATGGACTTGAGGGATATCCTGCCATTTTGGAGACACTGTCCTCTAGTATACTGCCTGATCTGAGGTTAATTGCGTCAACAATTATAATTAGTATTACTTAATGTCAGTTTTTTTTAAATTAACGTTAAGGGTAAATTTATGACGAAAATTTGAATAGAGTCGAATTGGGTGGAATTAATTATTGCGCTACGACGTATACTTGTATGCTAAATGCAACCACGTTTCGCACTCAGCTTGATTGCTATTTACATAAAAGATCTGGCACGCCAAAACAATCAGTTTCATCAACAAATTGCTCCATTAAATTATACTTTTTTCATTATTTTTAAACGGGTTTATTGCTTTGATTTATTTATCATTACTTTTTTGTTTTAATAATCAAGAATTGTTAATTTTTCTTAATTAAGTAACTTGAAAATATATTTATTTGTTATAATTTTAGAGAAAAATTATTTTAGTTAAGTTAAATAAAAAATTTTCCAACAGTGCATCAAATTTTTAAATAGTCAACATAAAATTTTTATTTTTACAATAATGGAAAATTTTTAAATTGTATAAACAGTTTTCTTCTTAAAAATTGTTTACAAAATTTATATAAAAGTCTATCTATTTCATTGTTTTATTATTTATTATCTATTTCATGATTTGAAATAATTAAGCCAATCTTCGAAATTAGGAAATAAATAACTTTCAATTTTAACTGCTGTATTTAAAATTTAAATCCATTTTTCAAATTTACGAAGCAATCGTCGAAAATCAAAAAACGGATCAGATTTTCATAAACTGTTATAAAAATCCAAAAATTAATATATAAAAATCCAAAAATTTTTTTTACCAGTGTACTATAATTTTCAAGTTTTCTTTTATATATTGTATTATGTATAATATATATATATTTGGCTCAGTTTTGGACAAGTAATATATGTATAATATGGTTAAACAGTAGGTGTAGCTTGCATATAACAGAACGTTTCGCGTACCACCAATAAATAACAGTCTTGTGTACCACCAAAATCCACTCTATTCACTATATATACGGTATACGTTATATGGTATAGTATACTAACAATACATAACGGCTAAGTACATTTACACATTACAACTACAACAACCATTTACCATGATATATTATCGACCATTAACATATTAAAATATAATTAAAAACTAAAATAATCCCGATAATTATTTCTTTATTTATCACTTTAATTAAAACATTAATTGCGTACTAAAAAATTCATTGAGAAGTGAAGCGCAGAGAAGTGTACTAGAAAAAAAATATAAAAAACTGACTTTTATTGTTTTTTTTTTTTTTTTTTTTTTTTTTTTTGCACCGATACTAGTACTAGCACGGCAGTGTTTGACGGTTGCGTCACAAGGTAAAAAGATAAGACATGAGCGATGTTGGTAAAGATAGCGTATCTTTATTACCTTTCACAGAAACGTCTTGGAACGGTGTAATGTCAACCTTACACAGTTTATACGTACATATATTTTTATCATACCACATCAAGTTTAATATTGTCGAATGACTGTAATCTTTATGTTTTATGGTCACCAATCAAATAAATATCAAGTTTATTAGGTTTAGGAGAAAAATAAAAAACATCATAATAAAATATAAATGACTTGCAATTTCAATTTTTAATGTCATTTTAAATGTCTCGTTACATTTAGATCGTACTTATTTGTTTACTTGAGGTGGTAGTAAAATTTTCTTTTTTTTTTTAACTTTTACGCCCATTGGGGCTTTAGAATACTTAAAAATATTTTTTCTTGATTATGACTTTTATCACTAAAAAAAAAATTAACAGAATTAATGGTTATTTTTTTACTATGGTCTTATTGCTTGTAAACAAAAATATGATTTACATACGCTATGAAAAAATTTTACACATATTTTAACGGTAACTACTTTTATTTTTATTCAAAATTTCAGATTTTTAGTCATCGCATTTATTACTATAAATTTATTTTTTATTAAAAAAAAATTAATTTACTTGAAGAAAAAAAATTTTGAACGAAGAATATAATTTTGAGAATTTTTTTGTCTCGAATAAAGTAAAAAATTCTCGAGCCAAAAAATTGTTTTTGATTTCAATAAATTTTACTTAACTCAATTATTTTTCCTTTTGCTCCAAATTAATTTTTTCTTTTTATCAGTGTATAAAGTATGCGAGAGTAAATTATTTCAATCATTAGAAGGGCGTTGTTATAGTAAAATTTTTTCATAAGCATGACAATGTATTAAATGAATTTATTCAGTCTTTTTTATTCAATAGTGACATGAATTGCATTAATTGATGCTAATTATAAAAACATGACTTGAATTTATGGAAATTAGATTGATGTATTGAATAAGACACATGATAGAGGTACTTGATATTAAAATGAAGATAAATGTTGATTGGTTGCAAAAGTTAGATTTTTAAAACGGAAATTTATTATTTAAAAAAAAATAGAGTATTAGCCCAAGTCGTGAGAAGTAACTCGACATATTCACGACATCTCATCGAATTTTATTGGGCAAGTAAATCCTCAAATCTCAATGTTCCGTCTCGGGTCCGTATCGTTGCTGAGGGACCAGTACGCCACCAGAGAGGACGACCCTTCGCGTTACGACGTCTTCGTAAGCCTAAGCGACACACATTCTATTCGATCCCTTATTTCGAGAAGACTTCACTCACTACTACTACAACTACCATCGCTATTACTGAGAAATATACTGATACACAGTGTATCTTTAACCAAATACAGTCATTTAGTTGAAAACAACGTTGGCTTGACAATTCTAAATAAAATTGCTAGTATAGTTTTCCCTTCTTTTTTAAAAATAATCAACATAAATTTAAATTCTATCTCTCAAGATTTACTTTCTTGAGTAATAGATATTTTAGATAGCTTCTTACATTTATTTTTTTTTAATCAGTTTTACATCTAATTTCTATGAACTGTGTTCTATAAAGCAAAATAATATTTTTTAGTATTAATATGCAGACAATGTTGCGTAACATGAGAATAAGCCGATGAGTTAAAAAAACACTGCAACAAATATTAATAAGAAAAAAGTATGAAAAATAAAATTAATCGATTAATTATAACTCAACATTATGTTGTTAAATATTTATCTTATGATAATCATAAATCTGAAATTTGTTTTTCAATTCGTCACAGATTACAATATTGATAAAAGTTTAATTTTGGAAGCATGGCTTTTGTTTACTTTTTAATTATTTTTTTTAACTGTAATTGGATATGAATGTCAATATGCACAAATACATTCAATCTAAATATATTATAATTAATAATTATAAGTAACAAAGCTGATATCCCACAGAAATCAACTATAAAAAGACTCCGATCGGCAATTATTAAATCACTTTAAAAAAATTTCTTGTTCAGAAAACACTAAAAAATAATTCTATATAGAATGTTGTATTATTTAATAGCTTTTTGTTCAATTGCTGGGCTAGGGGCTCATGCTCAAAATCCGCAATTAGGTTCTTGCCCTTCGATAAAATTTAGCCGCGTCGATCCATATCAAGTAAGTTTTTCATTTCAAATTAATTAATTTATTATAATTTATAAGTTACAGTACAATAAGGTAATTGTAAGTAAACGTTTACTTTTATTTTTTTTACACATGTAAAATTATTTATTATAAATTATATGTCTGGTATATGGTTGGAAAAAATGATCAATTTAATGTTATTATTGTCATTAAATTAATTAAGTAATGTAAATTTAATTAACCAATTAAATTTTTATAATCGATTCTTATAAAATGATACCAATTTTATGAAATTTTCATCTTGAGCATCCGATGATGCTCGGAAACCAGCAAAATGTTGTACAAAAATTATGAATTTTTATCCAACAAACTGCGAAAATCATTATTATAAATATTGTAAATTTTAGTCTATAAAATGATTGATTGCTTTAGATGACTGGTCAATGGTTTGATTACGGACGTAGCAACGATAATCCGACTAATGGAGAAACATGCGGATACGACCATTGGAATCCGTCTGTCAACGGTTCATCAAAATTAGTTCTATCTGCCCATTCAGCATAGTATGAAGATTACTTTTTATAATTTATTATTCATTTGATTTTCGATGAAAAATTTTATTAACAAATACTTTATGGCTTAGCCTCGGCAATTATGGAGACGTTGTTGGTGATATTAGCTTTATCAGTGATAATTCATACATATTCAGCTTTGAGATACCAAATGTCGGACTGATATCAGTTTATCATGCCATCCTCGAAGTAGACTATAATAACTTCGTCATATATTACTCATGTACCAACCAAGGGTCCAGCTAGTAAGTACATAGCAAAAACAAATCCATCATGATTTTTCCATGCTAATTATTAATGCTTGGGAAATAATTTTTTTTATTAGCACTACCTCTTTCTGGGTCAAGACACGCAGACCGTATCCATCTTTCCAGGTTGAAAGCATGATTCGTAATTCATTGGGAAACCACGGTCTCTCTTATGGAAGATTGACTCGAATCAGTCAACAAAATTGCTATAGGAGTAATTATTAATAATAATTATGTCATTGAAATTTTGCAATGTGCATAATAAATAACAAAATTAATCTTTCCGTGCGGAAATGCTGCGAAAATGCTGCTTTCCGCCTCCGTCGAGGAGAAAAATAGTATTCTCACCACGGGCAGGAAATAAGAAAGCCTCAGATCACATGTTTGTCGACCTCGGCTTCGCCTCGGTCAACAATTACATGTAATCTGAGACATTTCTTATTTTCCTGCCCTGGGTAAGAAAAATACTATATCTTTCAATAATAATAATAAAAGTAACGCTGCAGATTTTATTTATTTAGTTATTTCGGCATTATCTTTCACGTAATAAAAAAAATATTGACAGTATTAATTTCGAAAAAATATACACTGTTGATAAAGAAATTGTTTTTTCAATTGCTATCGGCTATAATCGCAAGTAAAGGCATTATTATTACGGATAAATCTTCTACGGTTAAAATAACATCAATAACTAAAAATCGAAATGAAAGTAATCTAAATAAATTTATCAAGATAGTTTAAAAGGTTTTTGTTTACTGACTTTTAATTGTAAATCCATTGAGTGAATAATTTCATGACAATTAGTAGCTACTTTTTGACAAGATATCAAATTTTCTATATAACTAAAATTTTTTTAAATTAGCAGAGGAATAAAGTAAAAACAAAACGTGCGTAAAGTATGAAACAGTGAACATAGTTATGTGCATAAGTAGATCATTTAATCCTTAAGCTATTCTAAAGTTAAGATGTTAACTCTTAAATTATTATCCTCTTGCTTATCTCACTCGAAATATAAGTGTAAGTGTCCACCTAATGGCGAGCATAGGGACCGTAATACCGCCATAATAGGAATAATGTTAACGTATGACACTCTGTTAGTGTTAGTGTCACGGTACAGCGTATAATGTCCGTTAAGTTTAGTTTAGCGTATGCGACATGGGGTTCATGGGGTTCTCAAACCATCCTAGAGAATCTCACCCTCTGTTTTTTTTACTGCTCACCTACTTCATACTCGCACTCGGTACTCGGCTCATCTAAGAAGGGTAGGGTGCATAATTTATTGTTCTACACCCTCTGTCTTAATGCGATGCATAGAAATTCTGCAAGGTTATCGCTGCTCAACCTATAATCGAGGGTTATTGTGCCACTGATGTTCCTCGCCAGTTATCGTCTATTAAGTGACAATTTGTACTTTTAGGGATGATAAATGTATGCATTGCATTGTTGGAGTCTTAAATTGAACTGTTTTTACTTATTTTATGAGACATTTATTTTTATGAGTTAATGATTTGTTTATTTGAAAAAAAAAATATTTAATAGTCATGAACTCAAAAGTTCCTGAAGATTAGTCAAAAATTGGCAAAATAAAAATGTTGTTAATGTTTTTAATGATACTATCCTTTCATATTTTGTTATGATAACTAAAACTGATTTTCATAATTGAAATAAAAAATTTATGTGAAGTATATAAAGTTATAAAATGTAAATTTTATATCAAAATTGTAACTAAAGTTTTGAATTAATTTTACTGCAATCGATAACAACTGTGGCTTGTAAATATCTTCATTTTTTTCTTCAACCTATAAAACATATTGAATATCAATATTTATCAGTAAATTTTTTAATAATTACAAAATTTCATTACTCATAAGCATAAGGTTAGTTAGAAATTTTGAATAAATAAATAAAACAAATAGTAGAATAGAATTGGTTTTTATTGTGACTAGATTACAAACGATATCTATAATCGAATACCAAATAAAAATCAGCATTCGACCAAGAAACGTACACACAAGTGGGAAGATGATAACGTCAATTAAATGACAACTATTTATTCCTTCAGTGGAAGTAAGTATCTTCTCAAATTATCGCGCAATTATTTCAGGATATGTCTATTTATTCGACTTTATATTCGTACGTCACTGGAATTCATACAAAATAGCGGTCGCTTGAATTTTTCACTTACACACTATACAATTCTATTTACTGGATCGCGTTACAATTTTATTTAATAATATTTTATTTTATTTTAGTTTTTTCATCACACTTTAAAACCACCACTTGCTGGTAGTTGAGTAATTTATTTTTAAGTGTCTGAAAAAAGAATATATATATTTTATTTATTTATTTATTTATATAATTTTACTTTGTTTCTTCCATTAATTTTATTTTTAAGTATACTGAATATCATCAATATTACATTTACAAACGATTTTAATATTTATGTAACGTACAATACAATTGGTTAACGATCCTCTGTACAGGGCAGCCTTTCGACAAAAATTCATCGATAAATGCCAAAAAATCTTAAATCGCTTATTGTATTCATCCTACATTATCAATTATCATTTTTAATCAATTAACTTTTTTTGGTATTTGCTGAATTACATTATCATTTATTTTTATAATAACTATTATTTATTATTATTATAATTATCCAAATGTTTACAATTTATTTAATATTTAATTCGATTAGATTAACGCGTCGTACAATTAATGTCTACTATACAAATATCTACAAAATATTTTAAAATTACACGAATTATTTTTACCAATATCAGAATAAACAATCAACCAAATTTAATTATTGCACAAAACTTTGGTCTAAATAATATCAGAATTTAATCAAAATTCATTATCAATCACGAGTACAAATTTATTTTCCATTGAAAAAAAAAAAAAAAAAAAAAAAAAAAAATTGATAAAAATATTCGTGTAGAAAATAATAACAACAACAATAATAAAAATCACTGATTACGATTATCGTCCCAAGCGAGAGACAATGACTGTGAACCGATAGAATTATTAGTCCAAGAGTCAAAAAGCGAGGACCAGTAGCCAGCCGCAGAGGTAGCCGCATGTTGCCAGTACCCAGGCAGCCTTCCGCCGTGGCCAGTAGTCGCGCCACTGTTCATGCCAATCCCCATACCAAAAGTACCTCCTGAAGCTACGCTACTGTTTCCACTGCCACTTCCGCTTCCACTCCCACTCCCGCTACTGGCCATAAGATTTTCCGTAGCCGCAGTGGCGTTGAGAATCATTCTGTCTTCGTTAATCTTCTGGTCCGCCGTGGTGTTGTCTTCGTCGTACATGAGGTAGTGCTGTTGGGAGGTCGTAGATGAGGGAGTCGACGACAGCATCGGAGACCCGGCGGACCTCGGCCTGGGTCACTCTACTCCCGTACTTTGGTTCGTGCAATTCGCGGATTGAACTCCGCTGATTTGGTTTGTATTACTATTATTATTATTACTACTATTATTGTTATTAGAAGTATTGTTAGTATTATTATCATTATTATTATTATTACTATTATTATTATTATTATTATTGTTATTATTGGTAGAATTATTGATAGAACCAGTAGCCGAGTGATGGGGGCTGGATGCAGCCCCCACTTCACCTCAAACTTGACCTCGAGCGGTAGCATTGGTGTGATCAGTGCCAGGAGAATGCGGATTACCAGATCCACTTGTCAAGGCGTACTGACAAGCACTTAAACCGCCGCCTGAGGAAGCCCTAGAACTGACAGGACTGATGCTTCCAGCGGAAACTCCGCCGCCAGTGGTGCCACCTGTGCTGAATGAACTGGCAGAGCCGTACTCGCTGGAGTGCTGCTTGGCCTTGAGTCTCAGGGAAGTGATGCTGCTGTTCATGAGCGTGCAAGGTTCTGGAGGGCCAGTTGCGCGGTGGTGGGGAGTGTAGACTGAGGGGCCGTACGGATGCGGAGCGGCTGGAGCCGCATAAGGACAAGCAGCGCCGGAAGCCGCCACGGGAGACCCAGCTACTCCGAGGCCTGACCCCATCCCAGGGAGCATCGAAGTCGCGGCTTGCCCTACGGACATTGACATTCCGCCCACATGGCTACCGGCCACGGAGGTCGAGGTGTTAAAGCAGTTTACTGGCGCCACCTGGGCGTGGTGGTGATGGTGGGAGGCCGCAGGCACTACCGTGCCCAGGTGGTTCACCCAGGGGAAACTCTTGCTGCTTAAAGGCGAGGGGACTTTTGCGGCCCAGTTGTTGTAGGAGCTGTACGAACTGTACATCGCGTCGACATCCGCACGGCCGATGAAGCTGTTCAAGCCCGCGGTGCTGAAGCCTGTTTTGAAGTCCGCTGCTGCTGCAGCTGCCGCTGCGTTCGCGGCATTTCGCTCTCGTTTTCGCCATTTTGCGCGGCGGTTTTTGAACCACACCTGAAATCATATCAAAGGTTTTTTGTTAGAATTTTTTTTTTTAGATTTTATTTATTAAAAAAAATTTTATTTAATTTAAAATATTTTTTTTATCTATTAAATTTATCTGAAAACAATATTTAAAAAATAACCAGAGATTTTCTCAATTATTTAGAGGAAACTCTTATTAGTACTATTGTTCCTGTTATCTATCATTTAATTTTCCTGGTGCCTTGATCCATGTCGTTTTTATCGGTCGTTGCCTTTACTTACGGTGTACGCGAGCGCGACGTGTATCTGAGTGCAGCCATCCGTATAATTGTCGGAGGGTAGTAAGATGGAGGGTTCGTTCGCCAGTTAGACATATATAATAAATACCGAAACAGAGGAGGAGTATAATGAAGAAATTAAGGTCGAAAGAAAGGAAGGGAAGAAGAAAGTTACTAACAATATGCTCGATGTAGCGGCGCTTTTGAGCGTATACATGTAGATAAAGACATAAATATATTATATAGGTGGTGCTGAAGCAGTAAGTTGAGGTCGAAGGACCCGAGGGTAGAAACGGCTGACGAGGTCTCGTATAGTATTGAGCGTTCTTGCGACGCCGCCTTGAATTAACGCCGTCATATTTCAGGATTGAGAGCAACTCTTGTACCTATTCGTTACGTTCACCTTATCTATATCTTCCAGTATGTTTGTTTTAAACAAAAAGTTAATTGAATTTCCACAACTTTGTTATTCTTTTTGACTCAATTTGTCTGATCGGTATTAAACTTTTCTACTTAACTAGTCAATTTTTATATCAAAAATTATTTTATCAATTGTGGAGGCTTGATACTTGGTCTTTAAATTTTTGAGTTTGTGGTATTTGCACGAAAATTTTTTCAATAAGTATAAACGAAACATTCGAGTTACATTATTTGAGTTTTGTATGCTTGCAATATATTTTCAAAAGTTAATATATAAAACACCAAAACTTTCAAAGTTTTTTATGAGAAGTATTATTTAAAAACTGGCGGTATTAAAAGCTTACTTTATGGCAAATATTGTTGCAGAATAAAAAGAAAATTGAAATTTTGGCAAAAGCGACTTTCAGAGTTTTGGATTAGAAAAATTATTAAAAATTTTTTTCTTTTTCTACAATCAAGTTAAGATTTTTATCAATGTAGATTTTTTTTATTTATACATCAGTATTTTTTATTTACTAGAATTTTTTGATAAAAAATTAATTTTTACTTAAAATATTCTTTTGATAATTGCATCAAAGAAGTGTAAGTATTTAGTGCACTAATACAAAATAAATATTTAACTTTGATCGTTAAAATTTTAAAACAATTATTTGCGACTAAAAATAAATAATAAACAAGAAAACTAAAAATCTGTAGTTGTAAATAATAACGTTGCAATAAAAATAAAAGTAGTTATCGTGAAAATATGTGTAAAATTTTTTGATAGCGTCAGTATGTAAATCATATTTTTGCTTACAAGCAATAAGACCACGGTAAAAGAATAACCATTAACTCTATTCGCGTTATTTCACCTTACACTTACTCACTTACAGAGTAGGCAGAAGGTAGAACAGAGGAATAGGAAGAGGTAGTAATATAGTATGGTATAGGAACGAGAATGTCTTTTCATGAGGCTTTTAAATCCGATGGAGAGACATACGTACACAGAATGTAAGTGTACTACAGTGCTATGAGAAGAGAAGAAAAGAAACAAGTGGTATAAGCACGAGAGGACAAAAGACAATGACAGCGCTGGTACTCGTGACTGGAGTAGAGTAGAGTAAGCCAGTCAGCCGGAATAGAAGACAAGGCCAGACGGACTAGATGAGGAGGATGTGGAAGATAAAGACAAAGAAATGAAGTTGTGTAGAGCAGAAAGTAGAAGGAAGATGCTACTGCTGGTGCTGCGGCACACGAGAATCAATAAACCCGAGGCAACATCGAGGCTCCCACCCGACGAGGTCGTGGGTTTGTACACGCGAAGCCGCGCCCATAAACTTTAACGGCGTCGCAAAATTTCACGATGGCCGTCGGATACGTTGTTACCCTCTTTGATGAATTAACTTTCAAATCATGCCCGAGATATAACATCTTCTAGTTGCTTACTAATTTTCATTCAATATTTGCCTTTTTCATTTTTGTCTATCAATTTTTTAACTGTTGGATATTCCTTGATCTTGATAATATGCATGCTGATTTCGAGAAATACGAGGTGAAAAGTATCGTGGATTTACATTCTCTTAAATCTGTCTGTAGGAAAGATCTTTAAGTTGAAAAATATTTTGGATCAAACAGAAAATCGTGTATGTAATTTTGATTTGAATTTTTTTTTTTGCAACTTAATTTAGAAGAAATTCTTGCTTTGAAAGAAGCTTTTTTTATTTTCAAATTAGTCACAAATATTTTTATTGTAGATATTGTTAATGAATTTGAAGAAACAAATTTACTTTATTTAAAAAATAGAGATACATTTACTTAACACTTATAAAAAAGTAAATTTGATTGAAGAGAAGAAATGTCAATCCAAGTAAATACTTCTTAGAAATTTAGTTGTTTTAAATAAAGTAGAAAACTCCCTCAACTGACAAATTTTTCATTGTTTGAGTGAATTTCATTTGATTCAAGAATTTTTTTTGCTTAATTCAAAAGACAACAAAGTTTATTCAAATTTTTAAATTAAAATATTTTCAGCCTTATTGTCATACGTAACTAGTGGATCTTTTAATTCAAGCCCATAGATGGACACTCCATCTTCCCTATGTGTCAAGAGTTTCGTCTCTTCCACTAAGTTCGATGGAAATCCATCCAACTTGAATACTAATAAAGCTGGAAGCTTGTAGTATCTGTTCGTAGTTGTAAAGATGTTAATTAAATGAAAGATAATGAAAGAAATTAAATGAGAGCAAAGACAAACTTTGAAAAAATAAATGGGGTTGCCAAGCCAAGCCAGGTCGATGAAAAAATAACTCTGAAAAATTTATTCAAATTATTTTTCGATCTTTCATCTTTTATATTTATATAAAAGTTAATTGACTGATTGACGAAAAATCCAATAAAATTAAAGTTTTGATAAATTATCTTTGTTAATATCGTAAAACACAAAATAATTGTTCAATTTATTACTAAAAATAAATCCATCGCAATTAATCATTGGTTAAAACAGCTACCATCGGTATTTATTATAGTTTAATTAACCAACCAAGAGTAAAAAGTAAAAAGTAATCAAAGATAAATTAGTCTCAATTATTTACAACTAGTGAAACAAAAAACAAAAACACAAAAAATCAGAAGGAAATAAAATGACAATGATGATAACGTTCTCCGTGTAGCGTGACGGTAAGGCAATAAAACCTCATCAAATCACGACCCCCTAGCCCACGTACTATAAGCTTCTGCACGGCTCAATCTATAGAAGCTTATATAACTGTAATGAGACGGTGGCCGGGCGTCTCATCAATCACTTGCTCTTCCTTCTCATCCCCGATTACTCCTGCCCTTGCACTGAGAGTTCACCCGGCCTCAGGACTCAGGACTGCTCTAGTGTACTATATCGTATATCGTAGTACAGATATGTTATAGAGATTGTGTCAGTGTGTATGTATCGTACATTGCTGGCATACATGTGGTTAACTCTAGATACGTTATAGATGTCCAGACTACTCAGACCTATCAGTCGTGATCCGACGACTTAACGTCTTTACCGAACAATACAACCTATTGTTTCTTCTCCCTCTCTATATACCTACAATCCTTCATATCGTTCTATATTCTTTGCTTTGTTTGTTTTGCTTTTGCTGGTATTTCATCGTTTTGATTTTGGTATAGTGGCTTTAGCGCTTTCACTCTACTTCTTTCACTGATGCGAACACTTGTTCAGATTCTTTTGTCATCTGATATGAGTTAATAGTATATATATATATATATATATATATATATCCGTCGAGTTTGATTTATAATTTTTACTGACTTATCGACTCGGTACATTTTTTTAATTTTATTCAACATTTCATAGTTTTTTTATAAAACTACACACAGAAAAAAAAATTTACTTGAATCAAGTCAATAATAACTTTGAACACTGATAAGAGGATTTAGTACAGAGTACTAAACTGATTTAGTAACAAAATTTTCATTAATTTATTTGGGAGAAACAAATATTTTGTACCCATCAATAATATTTGGTACAGCTTAATAAATGATTTCTTTATATGAACAAAGCCTTATTACATGGAAATAAGTATTTAGTTCCACCAAATAATATTTAGTAACAGGTACTAAATATTTCTTTGGCAAGTATTGTCGGCAGATGGCTATGCTTAAATTTCAATGTTTACGTGATACATAACCTATTCACTAACTCAGATTATTTTACTCAGCTCGATTTTGGGAGATTTATTAAACCTTTAAAAACACACATAATCCCAATAAATATCTTCCATTTATGTCTTTTCTCAGTGGAGTTTAGTTTACATTTTTTAATTTTTCTATTATTGATGTATTAAAAACTTGTTTAATTTTAAATTTTATAAATGTCAAACGAAAAAATATAATTTAATAAGATTTTTTTCTTTATAATACCTTATATTTTTACTTAAAATTATTTAATTTAATTATTTTTATTTATTTTAAGTTAAAAAATTATAGGTTACACGCTAAAATAAGTTAAAAAATTAATTTTTTTGCTACCAATAAACGATTTATTGAGTAGCAATAAATCATTTGTTAAATACTACTAAATATTTATTTGGTGGAACTAAATGGGCTTTAATAAATGATTTAGTACCTATTACTAAATATTTGGTAATGAAAGGGTTGTTACTAAATCATTTAGTATCTGTTACTAAATCTTATTAAATAGAACTAAATCCTTCTATCAGTGAAGAACTCAATTTTCTCGATTTGAGCAGAAAAATTCTCAAACTAAGAAATCTTTCTTAGTTTAAGTAAATTTTACTTAATTCAAGAATTTTCCATCTTGATTCAAGACAATGACACTTTTCAAAATTATATTCTTGGTTCAAGAATTTTTCTCTTGATTTAAGTTAATTTTTTTTTCTGTGCATTGATGAAAATGTTTACTTGATCGAAAAGAAAAACTATTGAACCAAGAACATCATTTTGAAAAGTTTCATCGTATTCAATCAAATCAAATAATTTTTGAATCAGGTAAAATTTACTTAGGTCAACAAAAGCTTCTTATTCAAGATCTTTTTGGTTTAATAATTTCCGACTTCAAAAAAGTTAATTTTTTTTATCAATATTATCAATTTAAATCTAACGTATTAAGTATTTAATTTATTTTTGTAAGCTAAATAATAAGTTTCGTAACACTGACAAAAAAAAACTTGATTTGTTTGTTTTGAATCAAGCAAAAATTTTGTTAAAAGAAGAAATTTTTTTTTATTCAAGTAAATTTCTCATCTTTTAATAATTTTTTTGCTTATTTCAAAAGAATGAAGTCTAGAAAAATTTTTCTCT